TGCTTTTGGTTTTATTCTGCTGAGTCACAAACGCAGGAAGCATAGCGTCTCTTTTGCCTTTTGCCACTCCTGTTTGTGGCCTGGTTTTATTTAGTACTTTCAGTTGCAGGACATCTTCTAAAATCAGAATCTATTACTCTACTACTTTTTATAGCCCTCCTTCAGTCTCTTTAAACACTGAGTGTGTGTAACCATTAAAGGCATTTAAGTAACCACTAATGGAAGACATGGACTCGTATCATTCAAGTTGCTTACTTTTCTTTGACGCTGACAGAAGTCACCCACTCGGGAACCAAAACCAGGGTTGCTATGGTAACCGGCAGATGTGGGGCAGGAAATAGTGAGACTGAGTCCTTAAACAGGCACAGCAGCAGCCTCTACAATGTAGAGGGTCACGGGGGAGTGGTGCATGTAGAGTCTATATTACAGTACAGGTCATTTAGCTGACGCTTTTATCCAATGTGACTTACATCGCATTTTTAACCCGTGGCTTAGGGGTCAGGTGTCTTGCTCAGGGACGCTTCCACATGGGACATGGAGCAGCCGGGGCTCAAACCGCCAACCATGCGCCACCATCGACCCTACATGCTCCACTCTGCATCGTGAGGCTCCTCTTCCTCGGTGTGGGTCCAGCTGTAGGACCCGTCCACATCTGTCGCCTCAACTCCGAGCTGGAAACATTCACCAAAAGAATTTAAAGCTGTCAGCGGGATGCTTCTCATCCCTTGACCCTGTTGCACAATATGCTAAGTACGTCTATGTTGACTGTGGTTGACCAGATGTTTATATAGCGGATTTAGGCCGGAGATGTTATTTTCTTTTCCATCGATCAGAAACACTTAGACGTAGTTTAACGGCATTAAGAGGGAAGTTTTTTGTTTCCCTGGCTTTACTTTATGTTTATGCTATTTTACATTTCCTAAGCAGATACAAGGGGTTCAAAATAAACCTGTACTGGGATTTTTCTGATAATTCAAAATGATCATTTATCATCTTTGAATGGAATCATATCAGGATGAAATCATCAGATATCGTGATGCACAACTTCATCATCTTAACAAGCACATATTAAAAAACAAAAGAAATCTCAAATGGATATCGCTGTAGCAAAGCACTAGTGGGTAAAATGCATTTATCTTATATAGCACTCTCCCCTTTCCTGCAGTAGAATTTACCCGAAAAAAACATGTATGTCTTTGAACCATTGTCCATTGGGAGGCCTCAGGCGCACATCCCACTTTTGACAGAAAGCTGTTGTACTTTCCTTCTCCAGCCAATTCAAACATTTGACTCTCCACTGCTTTTAGTCCTCGCTGAGAGAAAAACAAAGCTGCAAAGAGGCGCAAGATGACACTGAGCTTGGAATGTACTCCCAAGTTAACTGAATAATTGTCGGGGGGTGTTTGTTTTTGCCTCTCCACTTTTATTGTTCGTTCTAGATGTTGACTAAAAGTTGAGGGAAGAAGTTTGGTTCGTTGCGTGAGGGGAAGATTCATAAGTGCTTCCTCTGCACATTCTCTCTGCCTTTCCTTGTACATATAACTCTTCCTCACTAAGTGGGGATCAATGCAGTGCACGATATCACAGACAGCTTCTCTTTCTCACAGCACAATATGTTACAAAATGTTTCTCTGCACAACCGTCAACAAAGCAGTTCAACCGAAGAGACACGCAATTGTGAATCAAAGTCAACACCCTTAATCTCATTTCTGCAGAACATTTCCACGTAATTGTGACAGGATAGAGGCTTTCCGTGTAAAACCCGTGATTCTACAATATAGCAATGTCCTGTATATAGATAAAGCAGCCTTTAACATCTTCAACCTTATTGGCTCGACATTTTAAAAGCCGACTTAAGTTGAGATCCTGAAGTCAGTGCAGAGTGCCGCTTAGATCCAGAGGACCCTGGAAGCCGTTGCAGCCCTTCAGGGCAGAGCAGACATGGCTGCTGCTGCTGTCAAGCCTTATATGTCCAGGAAAAGGTGGGCACAGCAGCAGCCATGGCAACTGTGGGCAGGAGATGCTGATCTGGAAGCAACGGGCCAATAACATGGCCTCTCCCCGAACCTCCTCTAATGCAACAACATGGGCCCTTTTAGCATCAACAGGTGAGCGGTTTTACTTCAACGCGATGGTAAGCGGTAAATCGGATGCCGCTCACCAAGCTTTCTGTTTACGGTTTCTTTCTGTTTAAGGTTTCTTTCTGTTTAAGGTTTCTTTCTTCACGGCGTGCCAGAGGATACAAAGCGCTGGCGAGCCCATGTGCCTCACGCTTTGGAGAGAAGCCGGGGGACGTTCCGTCCCACCGCTCTTGATACTGTAATCAACATGCGAGTGGTAGTAAGCGGTTGGCGAGTGAAGTACGAGAGAGAGGCTCAGTGATTTGGAGCCTGCGCCGACCGTAGAATGGGTCGTCGCCTGATTGACAGGACGTGACTCATCGGGGAGATGAACTGATTGTGGAAACCAGACGTGTGTTCTCTAATACTCATTTACTCGTTTTGAATATAAGAAAAAACAGAAAAAACGTGATGGTCTCCAGAGACATTCTACCGTCCTGCATCACCGGCCTGGCTTTCAGTCGGACGGAGATAATAGAAATGGCTAATGTTGAGCTCTGAGTGTCAGAGGGTTGTGGAGCAGTTTAGCCAGTTGGCCTCTTCTCAACGTACACATGACTTAATCCTGATGTCCTCAACAGTCCTGAGAAACTGCTGAGATTTGAATTACTCTCAGCCCCTTTCGATGTCATCGACACACCACGTGCATCGTTTGAATAGCATTAATAGCCCACCATTGTGGAGATATTCGGCGTAGTGGCCATTCAGTGAAGGCAGCCTGTGAGCTTTGGGGTTGGTTTCCATTTCATCACAGCTTGTTAAAATCAAATCGTTATCCTTAACAATGATTGTCTCTGCTGTGGAGTTGCCACACCAATCTACCAATGTACAAACAAAATGTCTGCATGAGTGTCCACAGCCTAGTTTACCAGGGCATCATTACTGTTTCTCATCTTTTCATTTTAATGGCCTGACCTTGACTATCCTGTAACAATGCAGAGGGATCGTTTAGATGTGGCTGTCCTACTATCTATGCACTATGAGTTTGTTGGTATTTTCTATTCTTATGTTACTCAATTTGCTTTCTGTCTTCTTCTGAATACTCTAATTATGTGTTTGCACTGTCTTCATGGATCCTGGCAGCGAAGGCGTATTCACTTCAGATGAACAATTGACCTTGGCTTTCGTCGTACTCTGCATGTCTTTGTCTCGTCATCCGCACTGCATGTGAAACCCACAATTAATTACTCTGGTATTACAGCAAATAAAAAAATGCAGAATTGAAGCACCCCTTTGCAGCATTGTTTGCATACATTCTCATTCTCAGACACTGTTCTATTGTTGTATTAGAAGCCTTTGGATGACCGGGGTCGACACTGAGGAGCCTCCTCGCTTGTTGTGTGACAGACTCGTTCAGCGGCTGCAGCAGCAAGTGTTCCTCTCTCCGGCTCTTCGTCCCTGTTGATATTACAGTCAAATCATTAGAGCTGGATCCTCTCCAGATGGCTCCTGCCTCTCCCGGTCTCTATTGAATTGTCCAAATTTGGCTGCTCTTTGGCCATTTTCAAGTCTCAACACTTTTTGGAGTTTTGGAGACTGATTCAAAGCAGGATTCTTTTGTGATGGACTTGATGGATTGTCATAGGGAGATGCACATTTTCAAATGATATTTTCATGACTACCTGGTGATGTAGAAAAGGTAATACAATAGATCAGACAGAGCAGATTCCATGCTGTGAAGCAGAGCTAATGAGGAGCTGGCTGCACTGGAGTGTTTGCACGAGGACCGTAGTGAAAAATGTGCTCTCACACTAGCGTAAACTCGGGGATTATCATTATCCTCTTGGGTTTCATCATGTGGTTTCTGCAGCGCTTACGCTCTGAAGTGACTGATGCTACTCACAACAGATATTAAAGTGACTGTTGCTTTAGCAGAGTAGACGGACAGTAATGTGTAGCAAGTAGGTAGCGTTGGCCTTTTGGCACTGATGAAACATACATTACAAACTCGGAGGGGGAGAGAGCTCGTGCAGCGCTGTTAACCCTTCTTCTTTGGGTTTGTCCTCCCCACTGTTAATATATGCTGATTTATTTCTATGATACTGAACATAAATAAATATATTATAACTATTTGAATATACCTATTTGGGTGCTGAACTGTTTCTATGACCATATTATATATATTGGCATTTTTTCAATTACTCTATACAGATTAAATAAGAATAATCATTAGTGGCACTGCTATAATCTAGTACTACAATACAGTAAAGTATTTGAGAGGTTGAATCCATACTGATATACCCATCTTCTCCAATATAGCTTGGTTAGCTTTGAATCTGTCTCAGACTCATTTCTGTTCACAAAGAAAATGTAATAATTAGATTTTTGGTCTATAATTTGGTTAAGAATGAGGCAGAGAGCCCTTTTGAGTATTGATGGCCCTATTCATCAGGTTCATCCCTCCTCCGGTTGGAGCCAACGTCAAAAAAAAAGGAGAAAAGCTCCACAGTATCGGTCGCTTTCCCTTTTCGCGCATACAGGTATCTGAATTGATTCACCGTAATTGCGGTATGTGACAAAACACCCATTGATTTTCGGAGAAGTCAGCTTCTGGGGGAGAGTGCGATCCAGGAGAAGAGAAAATAATGATGCGGCGGCGGCAATGTCATTTTCTGTGTTTTCACTTGCCTCTTACTGACGATTAGGGAGATTTGCACAAATGTCCTTTCTTCTGCTGGAAGGTTGGGTTGCTTGCCTTAGTTCAGAAATCCCTAATACACACACATACGCTGCAATCAGGCAGAGGCTGCACTTAACCCTTCGATACGGGCGGGTCAATCGGGAAGAAGAAGAGAAGAAGAGTACAAGCGTAATGCTGCTGTATTTGGGGTTTTAGCCGGCAGCACGACTTGACGCACGCTCTAATTGTGTATTTCCCAGGCGTGTTGGTCGGTGAGGCCGTTGTACTACCTGCCAAGATGGTGGCCCTGTCGCTGAAGATCTGTATACGTCAGTGCAACGTGGTGAAGACAATGCAGTTTGAACCGTCCACGCCGGTGTACGACGCCTGCAGGATCATCAGAGAGAGAGTCCCTGAAGTGCAGACAGGACAAGGTCAGTAGACGACTCCAGAGAATGCACGTAATCCAAACCTAATCCGCACGCTGTGTTTGACTTTGGCCGCTTGTTTCAGCGTCAGATTACGGCCTCTTCCTGTCGGACCACAACCCGAGGAAAGGAATCTGGCTGGAGTCCAGTAGAACCCTGGATTATTACATGCTGCGAAATGGAGTAAGATTAGTCATATAGTTTGGGGTCGAGAACTGTCATTGTCACTTAGCATCTCTTTAAGTAATGCACATGTTTCATAGGGAACTGAGGCATCTATGCCTGACTGCTTGCTTGGTGGGGTCAATAACCAACAGCCAATGACAGTCCGCAGGGTTTTGGATGTCATCGTGCTTCCTCTCCTGTATCCTCAGGACGTTTTGGAGTACAAAAAGAAACAAAGGCCGCAGAAGATCAAAATGCTGGACGGTGCGGTTAAAACCATCATGGTGGACGACTCGAAAACTGTCGGCGAGCTGCTTGTCACCATCTGCAGTAGAATAGGTCAGTTATAAGTACTGCTACTATATGAATCTTGCCAAGCCAAGCTTGAATTATTCATCTTAATTTGCCGTGTTATTGAACTCAAATGCAAGCGGTACTTTGGAGCAGTCAAACACGCTTGATAAAGTCCTAATTACTTTTTGTTTAGAGGATTATGGGCATGATTTACCAAGACATAAAACAAGCCTGTTTCTAATAAAAGTGTTCCTCCTAAGGCCCAGAACGTGCCATACTTTCCTGTCACAGAGGTGTTCCCTAAGATGTTTATTTCAATTATAATGGGCCTGCCATCGAGCTCAATTGTGTGAAGAGGAGAGGGATGTGTGCCTGGCAGATAGCTTTATTGCAAAATGTTTGCTTGGAGTGGGTCTTTCTGCTTGGCTTCTCCTCCTCCTCAGCTCACATTTTAGTTTGTTGGATCAGTGCCAGCATCCCTTCACTTCTGTTTCGAAGCAGAGAGAAAGAGATACAAAATAAGCGAGAGCAAAAAGAATTGCAGATCACGGCACTTGTTACCGCGCCAGTTTGAAGCATCTCCTCCTCTGAGAATTTCCCTGGCTCGTTTGCCCCCTTTTCAGGAATCACCAACTACGAGGAGTACTCCGTCATTCAAGAGGTGATGGAGGAGAAGAAGGAGGATGGGATGGGGACCCTGAGGAAAGACAGGACGCTGCTGCTCCGAGACGAGAGGAAGATGGGAAAGCTCAAAGCCAAACTCCACACGGACGATGAGTGTGAGTGTTTGAGCTCGCCAAAGCCTCCAGGACTGAAGCTCGATTGCCTTCATGGCCGATTCTTCTTTTTGCCAACGAGAATCTGACTCAACACCATCGTCTGGACATCTGCTTTATCTCTTGAGTTTAATGTAATGCATGGACATATCAAAGTGTTATCTTTAGCCCAGAGGGTGCATGGAAATACATAAGTCACATTTGAACTTTAGCTGAGAACTAACTTACGTCTCGGCACAAAACCATCTCACCTCCCTGTGATTCACTGGTTGATGACATAAGTCTCACGTTTCCCCCGCGCATAGTGAGATCTTTATGAAGTGAATGTTGAGCCCGTGTCGTAACAGAGTGTGTGTATTGATTGGGCAGTGAACTGGCTGGACCACAGCAGGACCTTCAGAGAGCAGGGCCTGGAGGAAAGTGAGACTCTGCTGCTCAGGCGCAAGTTCTTCTACTCGGACCAGAATGTGGACTCCAGGGATCCTGTCCAGCTGAACCTCCTCTATGTTCAGGTAAAACAATTACGGACACGTTCATGCTGCTGTAGCAAGAGAAATAGAAAAGAGAAGGCATGAGCTACTTTACGCCCGCAATTCTTTTGCTTTCACAGCTCAATGTGGTTTACAGCTTTGAAATATATCACTACAATTTCAGACATCTTCTGTGCAGAAGTCTTTTCAGTCATTGCTCGAGGCCAGCCTGACTTATTTGGTGCCCTTAGAAACTTCACAAACCCCACGGCTACTTTAAAGACTCAGGGTTTTAAAATTGAATATGTTTTATAGTATTATAGTTAAGCAATACGGTCCAGGGGGTTTTCAGAGGCAGTATCCAAACAGCATGCAGCACAAACCTGGTTGGAGATGTATTCTACATTTGGAGTTAGGTGCGGTTAAGGGGGTGTGGGTTGATTCAATGTCTCTCTCTCACTCTCTCTCTCTCTCTCTCTCTCTCTCTATCTGTGACCATGTTTTTAAAGGGAGAGCCCTGCAGGCACCAGCCCTCCCACACAAAATATCTGCACAGACAGCCCTTACTTATGTATGCCAGGTCTGTGTAGTCGTATGGATGTGACTCTCTTCATCCTTTCTATCCCTGCTGCGTTTCTGAATATGTTCATAAAAGGGATCCAGCAACCTCCCCCTTCTCCCCTCCCTGCTCTCGTAGCTTCTATCTCTCTCTCCGTTCCTTTTTTTGCCTTTACTTTTCACACCCTGCCTTCCCTTCCCGGTTGTCTGTCTCCCCTCACTCTTCATCTCCCACACATTTTGACATAAGCGCACTCGTCCCCACCTCGTTACCCAGGCAAACATAACAGCGCGGCACATATCATGCTCTCTGCTCAGCACAGACTCATATCTCCTTTCACATTAACAGCCCCGCCCCTCGCCCCCCACCGCCTCCCTTTTGCCCCTCTGTTACCCTTCCCCATCTATACTCCCTCTCAATCGCTCTCTGATACACACTGGGATCGTTACACGGGCACATCAGAGAGACTGTTCTCACGGCAGCAGCTCTAATTTGTCACTGTGTTAAAAGCGGCAAGCAGAGACGGAGGAGGGATCGTTAGAAGAGTGGAACATTCCACGGATTGTCTCCCACGTCTTCTTCTTTTTTTTCTTTTCCGTCTTCATTCGCAATTCCTGTATTTCTCAGAAGCAGGATGAGTAATCTAATTCATATTGTGTGGATGATGACATTACTGCTGGCTTTCCCTTTGACAGAACCTCCCTGTGAATCAGCCATGATGTCAAACGTTTATTTGTGATTTGTGGATTTTATCATTTAAAACCAACAGCAATACAGACTGCACATATACACATTATGGAAAGTCTGAGGGCAATGGACTAACCTCCTTCACTACTCGGCCACTCCCTTTCTCTCATGTATTTGTGCTAAGACCGGGATAAACCCCTACAGCAATAGTCTCCTCCTCTGATTCCTAAAGCATACTATATAGTCCAAAGAAGGGAGGGATGAATAATTTGTCTTCAACATAATATTTATCCTGTTGCCTCCTGACATTTCATTCTGTTGTCCTCCGTCAATAGTTCTGTAAGCCTGACCCTAACCCTCTTGTGAGGCATTGTGAAAATAAAGGAACCAACGATTAGATTTGATTCAGGCAGGTTCAGGTACGGAGCTGGAGCTTAATGAGGATGCTCCCAAATAGTCTTTTATTTTGGATTTGTCTCCAGACAACAACTGTGTTGTCCAGCTCATCGGTCCTTCACTCACTGATGCATCCAGATTGAACACTGTGTGCATTTAGTCTTCAGTGTATACGTCAGCATTCACTGTGAGGGCTGCTTTATGCTTTATGCGTGCCGGCCCGTGGTGGACTAGTTGACCTCAGCGTTAGAGCCTCGGGCCGTATGTGTCACCGCCTCCAATATCTTTTGCATCACTTGCATGCAGCCCTGAAATGTAGTAAAACCCCTGTGATGTTCATGACGTAACCACGTCACCTGCAGATATAGACACGCAAGACACGTGAGCAGGAAGTACGAAAACGGTAACGTGTAAGCCAGAGTCGGAGAATAAACGCCCGTGGATATGAATCAAACTGTGTTAGGTCTGGTGTATAAACCCACACAACGCAAACACTACATTGGCGACAAGGAGTAACCGGAAAGTCACTCGAAGAATCGACCCGGACACCACGTTTTTCTTTCTTAGTTTCGCGAGCGGACAAAGAAGAGGGAGGAAGAAAACGGACACGAGGGTGAGAAGCTAGCTAAGCTAACGCGGACCGACATGAATGGCAGTCGGCGCGCCGCAGCAAGCATGGCAGGAAACACCGCTATGCTCCCACCTTTCGACACGGAAACTGACCCTGGCTTTGTTGGACCTCGCTGGAATAAATGGGTGCAAAGGTTTGAAAATTACACCACTGCAATGAACATTACTGGAGATGCTAGGCTCAAAGCATTATTGCTACATATAGCAGGAGAACGAGTGCATGATATCTACGACACATTATCAGCACAAGATGACAAGTATGCAGAGACGAAGCAGAAGTTATCTGGATATTGTTCTCCTAATAAAAACGTGCAGTATCAAGTATACATCTTCAGAAAAATGGTACAGGAACCAGAAGAAAATGTGGACAGTTATCATACGAGGCTAAGGATGCTAGCTAGGAACTGTGAGTTGGCAGATGTCAACGCAGAGATTAAAACGCAAATCATACAAAGCTGTGCATCATCCAGGCTGCGCAGGAAAGCGCTAAAGGAACCTGAACTTGGCCTAGAAGAGCTTCTTGATCATGGAAGAACACTTGAGCTGTCTGAAATGCAAGCGACCGGCATAGAAAGAGGCACAACAGCTGCAGTCAACGTGCTGGATCGAAAGACTGTGCAGAAGCATCCAAACAGCAGACGATGGTCAGAAAAACAACGTTCAGACAACAGCTGCAAGAACTGTGGAGGTAAATATCCTCATGAAGGAGAATGTCCTGCTAGAAGCAAACAATGCAGAAACTGTGGTAAGCTGAATCACTTTGCTAAACAATGTCACTCTAAAATCAAGGACATTAGCGCAAAACAACCACAGTACAAGGCAAACCAACACCATAAAAAAAGTCCATCACATAACAAAGACACCAGGTGAAGAACAGGAACGCAACTCTTCCAGCAGTGATGACGCTTATGTGTTTGTAGTAGATGATGAAAAGGTCTCAGAGCTGCCACAGACACACATCAAGTTAAATGGCAGTAGCATGGTAGTTTTAATTGATTCAGGAGCCTCTGCAAACTGTGTTAACGAAACAAGCTTCGAGAAACTGATGCCACGTCCTCAACTGAACCACACCAGCACCAAGATTTACCCGTTTCGCTCCAAAGTTCCATTACCACTCAAAGGTAGTTTCAAGTGCAGTGTGGAGAAAGGACAGGAAAACACAACGTGCACATTCTTTGTAGTTGAAGGGGATGGATTTAACGTGCTCAGCTACAAAACATCCAAAGCACTGGGACTGACTAAAATAGTCACAGCAGTGTCGTCCACACAACAGCGTCGCACAGTCGCCGATGAGCTGGTGGAAAATTATCCGGAACTGTTTCAAGGGATCGGAAAACTGAAGGACTTTCAGGTAAAGCTTCACATAAATCCTGACATCAAGCCTTCATGCTAACCACATCGACGTGTACCGTTCCACATTCGCCAGAAGGTCGAAGATGAGCTTCAGAAACTCGAAGGACCGACACCGTGGGTCTCACCTATCGTTGCACCTCCCAAGCCTAAAGACCCTGACAAAGTCAGACTTTGTGTTGATATGCACCAAGCTAACACAGCTACAGAGAGAGAACGGCACAAAACTCCCACCATGGACGACGTGATACACGAGCTAAACGGAGCAACAGTGTTTTCAAAACTGGATTTGAGAGCTGGATACCACCAGCTAGAGCTTCATCCAGACAGGCAGGTACATCACTACCTTGACCACACACATTGGGTTGAGGCGCTACAAGAGACTGAGTTTTGGTATATTCTCTGCTGCGGAAGTATTTCAAAATGCTATATGCCAGACACTGCAAGGTCTCTCTGGTGTGAAGAACCTCAGCGACGACATCATTGTCTACGGAGCCTCCCAGACTGACCATGACAACAACCTCCGAGCACTGTTCCAGAGACTCAGGGAAAGCGGTCTCACACTCAATCGGGAAAAATGTGAGTTCAATAAGTCAAGGCTTGAGTTTTTTGGTTTCATCTTCTCAGCGGGAGGTGTTTCAGCAGATCCCAAGAAGGTGATTGCAGTTCAGCAGGCTGCAGACCCTCAAAATCCAGGAGAAATCAGGAGTCTGCTGGGGATGGCTAATTACTGCTCCCGGTTCATCAAAGATTTCTCCTCAATCTCAGAACCGCTGCACAAGCTGACCAGACAAGACACACCCTGGGAATGGGGCCCACAACAGAAGGTTGCATTACAGAGCGTTGTAGAGAGGAGATACTCTCAAACAGAAAAAGAAGCACTGGCCATAGTGTGGGGCTGTGAACATTTCCACCTGTACATTTATGGTCATCCTCTAACTCTAGTGACGGATCACAAGGCGCTGGAAATCATATGGAACAATCCCAAGTCCAAACCACCTGCCAGGATCGAGAGATGGGGACTGAGGCTTCAGCCTTACGACTTCAAGGTTGAATACAGGAAGGGGGCTGACAACCCAGCTGACTACATGTCTCGGCATCCCATGTTGTCTGAGACAGGTGACAGCACTCGTGCAGCAAAAGTGGCAGAGGAGTATGTGAACTTCATTGCGAGTCATGCTACACCTAAATCAATGACACTCAAAGAGATCAAGGCAGAGACACTTGCAGACCCAATGCTTCAAGAGGTTGGTGCTCACATCAGACACAACACATGGCATAAAACCGACAAGTCACAACATGCTGACATACTAAAGCAGTTTAGACAAGTTAGCAGTGAACTAACAACATCACATGCATCTGACATTATACTGCGGGGCACTAGAATAGTGATTCCCAAAGCCTTACAAGACAGAGTGTTACAACTAGCCCATGAGGGACACCAGGGCATTGTCAAAACAAAATCACTACTCCGAACCAAGGTGTGGTTTCCAGACATCGATCGCAAAGCAGAAGTCGCAGTACGCTGTTGTCTCGCATGTCAGGCCAACACACCAGTCACACACAAGGAGCCGCTAAAAATGTCAATTCTGCCAGAAGTTCCTTGGCATAGTGTAAGTGCAGACTTCTATGGATCGCTTCCGACTGGAGAGTACTTGCTTGTCATCGTGGATGAGTATACACGCTACCCAGTTGTAGAGAGCGTGCGGTCGACATCGGCAAACACAGTCATTCTGGTCATGGACAAAGTCTTCTCCATGTTTGGAATCCCCAGAGTTGTAAAAACTGACAATGGTCCCCCATTCACCAGTGACCAGTTCTCCCAGTTCGCAGATCATCTAGGATTCCATCACCGCCGGATAACACCGCTATGGCCTCAAGCTAATGCAATAGCTGAACGGTTCATGCGGACACTTGGCAAAGCTGTTCGTGTGGCTGAAACACAGGGACTTCCTTGGAAACAACAGCTGAACATCTTTCTACGTGAGTATCGAGCTACACCCCACAGTACAACAGAAAGCTCGCCTGCAGAGCTGTTGTCCAACGCAAGGTGTACACGAAGATTCCTTCATTCACTCACACTGTCAGTAACAGTTCAGACTCTGAAGTGAGGGCAAAGGACAGCAAGGCCAAAGCCAAAATGAAATATCATGCAGACTCTCATTGTCGTGCTACACCACACACTCTCAGTCCAGGTGACACTGTGCTTCATCGTCAACCCAAGCACAATAAGCTCACCACACCATATAACAGTAAGCCATACACCGTGACCAAAGCCAAAGGTCACAGCAGCCAGAAAAGGACACTCCATCGTCAGGAACGCTTCATTCTTCAAGAAGATCTCACCAGAAATATTGGACATCCCACCGGACACTGATGATGATGATGATGATTGTGATAACAGTGATGCCTCCACGAGCACAACAACGCCAAGATATCCCTCAAGGCACAACAGACGTCCTCCAGCCTACCTACAGGATTATACTCAGTTTAAGGACTGTAAGCAGAAGAAATGTTCTGATTTGAAAGCGACTGTATTAGCCAAGGTTAAGAAGTTTGGTGATTTCCCCTTTTAGCAGTCTAAAATAGAATTTTATTTCTATTTCTAGAATTAGAAATACGCTATAAATATGAGTACAACGTTCAGTACAGCAGGTACGATTGCTATAGTTTGTTTGAGTTGATGTAATAGCAAGCCCAGTTTTCAGAATGTTAAGATGACAGGTTTGTATTTGTTCAATTAAAAAAAAAAGGGCAATGTGATGCAGCTCATCGGTCCTTCACTCACTGATGCGTCCAGATTGAACACTGTGTGCATTTAGTCTTCAGTGTATACGTCAGCATTCACTGTGAGGGATGCTTTATGCTTTATGCATGCCGGCCCGTGGTGGACTAGTTGACCTCAGCGTTAGAGCCTCGGGCCGTATGTGTCACCGCCTCCAATATCTTTTGCATCACTTGCATGCAGCCCTGAAATGTAGTAAAACCCCTGCGATGTTCATGACGTAACCACGTCACCTGCAGATATAGACACGCAAGACACATGAGCAGGAAGTACGAAAACGGTAACGTGTAAGCCAGAGCCGGAGAATAAACGCCCGTGGATATGAATCAAACTGTGTTAGGTCTGGTGTATAAACCCACACAACGCAAATACTACAACCCCCATTTTGTTTGCCATATCCGCTTTGAGAAAAAATCAAGGTCTATCCTCACTTTCTTGTCTGTTGGTAATCATGATTTTGAAATAACCCAGCAAATGGTAAATTCAATGCTGATCTAAAACTTTATGGATGTGTCAATGCGAATTTGGATAGCCAGAAGCACATCACAATGCTTTGCTCTATATGTGTTCTGTTTTCCATCGGCTTATTGACCTCAGCTGTTTCATTCATGCTGCACCGTAACCAGCTCATTCCTATCTGTGTGATGATCACCTGACCGGCCACGTCCAATCACATTCAGCAAGTGTCCAAGGCTGCCACCCTGAACTGACTCTTCTCCCTGATACACTTCTACTCCACCTATTATAGAGTTCTTCCCCGTAAAACCACTGGGTGGGATTCCTTCACCTGTGTGGAATAAGACACAAGGAACATAGACGGACTATTTTTGTATCTCCCCGTCCGTACTTCTAAACATGCTAGAATGCATGCTGATGATCTTCTGTGTGTCGTACCGTTGTTTACCAACCGACTGACGCAGTTTTTATGGTGAGCCCACTTGGTTTCTGGCTGCCTAGCCACGGTTGCATTTACCACTCTGCAGGATAAAGCCTCCTAATGCTTTTGCCAGTGATGGAAAAGGAGAGCAACAACTGATTAGATGTATCCTTTGCATTTACGTCACAGGTCATTGTATATTATTATTATTATTATTAAGTTTTATTGGTATATGGAAACTGGAACAGTAATTTAAACCAGATTTCATGCAAGATACGTCTGCGTTTCTTAAAGCCAGCAAACCATGACCTGGTTTCTGAAACCATATTTATTATGCAAACGCATAGCTACAAAACTCCAAAACCATGATGATTACTACTTTGCATATTAGTATCTCCAGCAGCTGTGCCTTATCAACAATTAGTTCTTGCTACCATCTCACTTCACGGTCACGCCGTCTACCGACCCGTGTGCAGCAGCATGAATGGAATGTGTGCGGGCCAATTTTAGAGTCTTGTCTTGTGTTCAGTAAGACTGTATTACTGTGTGTACTCCACTGTGAATTGCACTGGGGAAAAGGACTTGATTGTGAGTGGAGGAGATTGTTGTCCTCATTACTGCACTAAGCTTCCGCTTAGTTTTTTGTTGATGTAATAGGACGTTGCAATGAGCCAAGTCCACGCTGTGCAGTGATATGCTAATGCTAAAAATCACTGATGGTCTCTCTCTCTCACTGGCGACAAGGCCTTTCAGCTTTTGGAGCCATTAATTTTGCAGCAGAGTACAGAGTACTAGAAAGAGTGAGTGATAGACGAGCAGACGGCCCCCTGGAGAACACACTGGCAACCATTTGAAAGATGCCTTGAAAGGTTTCTTCCTTTCCATTCACCTAAACGGGGACGTAACGTTGACAGCATTGCTGAAGAAGCATTGAAATAGAAGTGATGTCCTAACAGCACCAAAAAAGGCACAAGCCTTCTTCTTTCTTTTCTTTTTTGCTTGGTGGAAAATCATTTTATAACACCACATTGAGGGCCATTCCGTAATGCAGATGGAATATCATGGAAGACTGATGTATTTCTATATTGTGTTTTCGTTTTTAATGACACCCAGTGATGGCAAATTGTCAGAGCTGTTACATTTGAAAGCCAACAGAATAGCTTTTATTGAGTGAACAAATCTTATTTGGCTCCACTGTGTGGTTGATTCTCAGTGATGATGTCCCTGCCCTTGAAATACACTTAGTCATTCCCTCCAAAGACATCCTCGCTGAAGCAGCAGCACATTGAAGGCACTCAATATGTGCTCATTACGGGGTGAATTCTGGATAAGTCCCAGGCCTTTGTAGTACTATCCTTTCCTGGATGTGTGTTTTTGCCTCTCACTCACTACCCCTCTCCCTCTCTCATCATGTTTCCTTCAGGCTAGGGATGATATATTGAATGGATCCCACCCTGTCTCCTTTGATAAAGCCTGTGAGTTCGCAGGCATCCAGGCTCAGATCCAGTTTGGACCCCATGTGGAGCTCAAACACAAGCCCGGATTCCTTGAGTAAGCTTTCCTTATCAAAAAGATACGCCAACACCTATGTTCATAACTGCTCTGTTCAGCATGTTGTCCTACTTTCATCCGGTCACTTCGCAGCTGTGCATACACAGCAATTATCTCCTGCTTCAGTACAGGCTTTTGCTTCAGGGATTTCCTCCAGTGGAAAGCTTAGAGGTGATGTCAACTGTTTTGATATGTAGGCTGTGGGGCAAGAATGAGCTCATATGTGGGGGTATGTTAGATGAAAATGTTAAAAGAAAAGTAAATGTTCGTAGCTCAAAACAGTGTCATGTCATTTATCTCGTCATTAGTCTGAAGGAGTTCCTGCCCAAAGAGTACACCAAGCACAGAGGGTCTGAGAAAAAAATATTCCAGGTATGTACACTACAGGAATGTTGTATTTAAAAAGGAAAATAAAGTGTTTAAAACTGTGTGAGGCCCCTGGGAATTATACTATTATATTCTACGTTTGGATAAATTGACATTACTTAACGTAACATTTATATGTTATATTGGTATATTGTATATATGTGTATTTATATGTTGTTTGACCAGGGCCATAAAAACTGTGGAGAGATGACGGAGATTGAGGCAAAAGTAAAGTATGTGACGCTCGCCAGGTCCCTGCTGACATATGGAGTGTCCTTCTTCCTTGTGAAGGTGAGAGCTAAAACCATGCAACTTGCTTACATTACCACAAAATACATGAGCTTTGGAAACTAGTCACCTCTTGCATTCTGCTCTCCTATCATTATAAGATACAATGACACGTTTATTGCACAAGATATTGAAGTGCAGCAGCATTGGTAGAAAGAAGTCAAGGAATCCAGGCAGAACTTGTGAGGAAATGAAAACGAAGGGGAATCGTAACACCCACGATCCATAGTGTGTGTCACAGCTTTTCTTTTACCACCATAAAAAAGGGATGAGATTTGTGCTGCTGCTTTGTTGCAGTAAAGTGCCACATTTGCAGGTAAAGTACAATGATATTATAACTGATAACAAGGGCTAAAGATTGAAAAATAAAACCAGGGTTTCCTTTTAGTGATTACTGAGCATTACCAATTGAATGATGCATGTTAGCTGTTTACAGAAAACAGGTGCATAGTCCCGCTGTACTAATAAGAGGCAGCTGTGACTAGAAAGCTGCTCTAATATGCACTGCGCTGTCAAACAGGTGCGAAGGCTTATTGAACAACACAAAACCCCATTATCGCAACTAACCACGAGCCTCGGTGTGGGAGCTTGTGCGCTTGCTGTTCAGCGGCACACTCTGTGCCTTCGAACACTTCTGTGACAAAGGCAATTCTAAAAGAATGATACTTGGAAAAAGCAGACTGGCAGTTACTTATCCCACAGGTTATGTTGAAATGAGGGTCGTGTGGATGTACAAGTCCAATATGATGAATCAGTTTTCTAAGAGTAAAGGTCCTCTTTGAGCATTTTGTACACTGATGCAGTCCAGGCATGATCAGTGAAGAAGGTTGACAATTCGAGTTACAGTTACCGGCAGGGATTTGTCTCCATCCCCCGTGATGTTTGCGATGAGCCTCTGGAGAAAGGTCAGTGTCTTTTTCAAGTATCCAGGATATGCCATGTTGAAGACAAAGTACATGCAGAAGGCTGCAATGAAGGCCTCATCCACCGAAGTGCAAGAACAGACCTCAATTCCCTCGACATTGACTACACTCTGGCACTGTCTGGAGAGGGCAAATTTCAACCCTTGTGCTTTCAGTTGAACGGTTGGATATGGAGTTTGAGGATTTTTCTGCATAAGAGAAAAGAATGTTAGCATACATAACAAGATCAATATGATTAAGCATGCACATTGATCTAAAAGAACATTAACTTATGGCTAGTGGCTATGCAGGACACCAGGTATTTACCTGTCCAAGCATAATGAAATCCTCAATCTTCTCCTTGAATATGGATGGCAAGAGGAGGAGTCCACCCCTGAAGTCAATTCCTAGGTCATACAGATTTTACAATATTAATGCATTTCAAGGAATGTTTGTTGATACAAATAACCTGTAAATTCCAAGACAGGCTACCGCATGTTACTTCACCTTTAGTACAATAAACTAAAATGTATTAGCTTTTAAAATGCATGTGAGAAATAAACAAATGAAACATCATCAAGATAATGTTGCATTATACACCCACTAGGTGCCACAGATTAACGATGCAATACCAGTTCAGTGGAACTGTACACAGTCTCTAAAAAACAGACTGCACACAACTGACACAATGATGGAGCAAAATTAACTAGTTGTATGTGCTCAAATCAGTACCTTTAATATCCTCACCCAAGGCATCCTCTCTTGCTTCCATGTATAGTTTTTTCAGTGGCGAATCCTTGACAAGTTTCAGCATATTTGGGAGAATAGATGTGAAGTTCTCACTGATGCGGTGGCATATGTTGACTGGAGTGGTGCATGGCATCAACCTCATCGCACAACTGAGATTTTAAAAAGAAAAATAGGGGAAAGAAAGGCATAGGAGGAACGCTGTAGTGGCAGCCAGGACAGATGCAGTAAAATCTTACAAATGGAAATTAATTACAACTGTAGGAGAAGTCTATATGAACCTTTTTTCAGAATTTCTGTTAAGTGTTAATATATAGACCGGGAGCAATTTAAAGCACTGACTGTGGCTGAAGTTGGCAGCAGCTTAATTGTTCTTACCCCAGCGGATGTTCTTAGGAATGGATATCTCCTCAACAGATCTTCAGTTGACATTCCTTCTGCTATTTCTCGGCGTCTCCATGCAAAGGTTTTCATCATACGGTCTTTCACCAGATTCATGTCGGGATGCAACTTTCTGTATTGCTCAAACAGTACCTTGATATGAGCCTCAACAGAGGTTGCATCCTCCCCCACAATGCATGATTCCTTCATCAAAGCAGATATCACTGGTTAGAGATCATATGTACACAATGTAACAATGTGATCTTGCCTTAGCTTTTGTGAGATTGAGGGGATTTACTAGAGATGGCTTCAGTTGTTTTGGACATGTGGATGTAGATTCTTCTGGGGTCTTCAGTGATCTTGCTTGCCGAAACTTTTCTTTGACCCGTTTTACTTCCTCATTGTTGATTAGTGGAGCCCGTTCTGTTTTGAATTTTCTCTTGAGTTGGCTGTGCCAGGTATGCTGGTTGTTCCAAACAGATATCATGAAAGTTAATTATGCATACTTCTGTAAATCTAAAATCTGTTAAAATTAGAGACCAAAGGAGTGGTACTTACATAACCATTCCCGTGTACATCCCTTAAGAAAGGGTACTTCCCAATTAACGCTTTAACGACCTGAACGTAGTCCGAGTTGGTTGGATACCTGTCTCAAACAATGACAAAACAAACCACATTACAATATTACGGTGAATAAGAGACTGCAGGCGAAAATTTAAATATCACTTTCTACCTGTTTAAATGTATGCTTGTTGAACAGGTGTATGGATAAAGTATTGGTATTTACTTGCACAGGTTTAATTACATTTACAGTAATAAGTGTAGTTGTCATCAACTCGAGTAAAATGTTATATTCACTGCACGTGGTTCACTGACTTCACTCTGTGCACGTGTTATTGAGTGGGTGTGTGCCGGGGTAACAAGTTTGCATGCGTGCATCTGGTGGAAAATTATAAAAACTATACATATTACATTTTATGTTTTGTATGATATTTGGAAAAGAACACTTACATTGTACACTGTGACAGCATGTCATACAGAGTCCCAATTATTTTGTTACAGTACTTTTGTTTCTTGTGGACCGGTTCTTTAGCATCTAAGCGGCTCTGGACATCTTGTGGGAATTGTGGAATGGAAATGACTGCAGGCAGTCTGTGGCAAGTAGATTCCAACCTGCAATACAGCAGAAGAACAGCATTATTAATACATTACCACCTCTGGTTTTCTGGGGACACAGAAGCTTTACATGTTTGTTGTTCTGGGTTGACCACTTCCAAAGTAACGGTGACCTCCTTGTAGCGGTGTGTGAAGTCTCAATTTTAGCTGCTTTTTGAAAAACTTGTCAAAGAGATATGCAATCATATTTTCTGTGAGTCCGCAGTCTACTGTCTCTCCATCCACATCATTGTCTGAAATATAAATGAAAAACCTATTAAAAGAAGCACTGAAACTCTGTACATACAGATAGTGACTGACGCAATTCATTAAAAAAACAACCTTTTTTGCAACTCCCTGTAATGTGGTTTGTAAAGTAAAGTTTTAAAAAAACTGTATATAATCATTATATGTCATTATACAGCCATGTTTAGTATGTTATTTTTCTACTTCTCATTATCATCATTAATTATTATTAATAATATTGTTTAAAGTGAGCCTCTTATGTTCAACAGAAAAATACATCATACAAACAGCAACTTTTGCAGCCTTGTCAGTCTGATGGCGAGTTATCACCTTTGTCATCACTAACATACTGTTAATAATCAAAGCTCTGAGGCTTTACATTTGTTCTATATGTTAGAAAACAAGATGTCAGCATCAAGCTACAATCAGGCTACATTCATGATTTTGTACAGTCAAACTAACCAAAAACTTCTTATTGATCATCATTATAACGTTTCAGGATTTCAGTTTCCTGTAACCATGGTAAACGGAAGATAAAAGGTTGCTACTTGGAGAGAAAATGAATTAAGCCAATTCAAAATATATATTTTTGTTTTTACCACCAACTGTGATATACATGTTTTGTCAGAATAAAAATGGAAACATGAATAAATAAACACCAAGTAAGAAACACTAGTGAATAAGATAAATAAATATAAATGCTAACTTACTTCAAATTCAGAGTGTATTTGTGGGCTTGGGTGATTTCTTTTGTTTGTTGGAGCTTTGAGCGGGAGACCGTGTACCTTTGCTAGCTTGACATTAGCATGGCTAATAACGTTAGCCGACTTAATTATTTGAGCAAACTAGCTAATATTTTCAATAACTTTACTTACTACCTACGTATTTGGCAGTTCAAGATACAGTATTGTCTAGCTTAGCTACAGTAGCGTTAAGTGAATTAACGTTAGTGACTGTAATATCAGAACCAGCTTAGCTAGCTAGCTAGCTAGCCAGCTACTGATACCAATGATTTGATGTTTGCTAGAAACATTTTCGTCTTTGGTGATAGTTATGAAGTTCAAACTTTACTTACCTCTAAATTTCTGAGCCTCCTCTTCTGAAATTTGGATTCCTCCTTCCACCACCAACGTTTGTAAAAGTTCCTCCGTGGACAGCCCCCTGAGTGACATAGCTACTGAATGTACAGTTGAATTGTGAACGGACACTTTTCTTTTTTTTTGCGAACTGACTCCTGTCTGTCCTGCTCGGCACTAGTTTGACATCTCTGGTATTAGTGCGCCGCTGTTGCTTGACAACCAGTGTGCTACCTTGGGGAACTATATTTTGGCAGAAGAATTAGGATTTGCTTTCAGTAAATAATCACATTTTATGTTACTAGGTTGTCTACAGCAACCATTCTAGTAACCGTTTAATAAAAGCTCACCGAACCGTGATTTACAGTGATTTTAGAAGACTAGTTCAGGTGGGTAATTAGACCCATTTATCTGCACAGGAAATTATTTGTCTGTCTTCAGAAATGCAGGGACAATTTATTGAGCTGAACAGGGATGGCAGGTTGAAGCATCTTTTTGCCACTTGTTCTCTTGTGATCTTCTGGGTGGCACTGATGAGGGAATATCCGGATACGGCCTTAAAACTTCTCCTTCCTTTTGCTTCCACATACTTGTGTGAGGCAGGCTTTTCCAAACTGACTGAGCTCAAAACAAAAACACCACGTTCAAATGAGGCTGTAAATCCAAAACTGAGCTGAAAATTCAACAGATTTGTAGAACAAAATAGTCTCATGCTTCACATTGAGCTAAAACTAAATGTTGCCAATAATAAAAGGCTAACAACAACAATATAACAATAACAATAATGATAATAGTTCTAAATACCTCAACTATAACTACTAATAGGCCTATAATACTACAATTACTTCGAATACTGCATGTACCCCTTCAAATGGTACAAATTTGTTCTTTCTTTTGCTTTAAGTCACTTTGTACCCTTTCTGTTAAAAGTCAAAAGGTACACTTATGACCTCTTAAAGACCAATACTGTATTATTGAGGGAACATCTTCAAAAGTGTACCCGTAAGTACAAAACTGTTCTTCTCTCGTACCTCTATTTTTGAAGACAGAATACAGAAACACATTTCTGTGTTTGCAGGCATGTACAATATAAAGCCGCCCACTTGTGATTTCTTGCAGATTTCCACCAACAATAAGAAAGGTCAATCTATTTGCCGCTCTATTATTGGCCTTTTGCAAGGTTCTCAGGGCTCCCTGTGATGAAAAGTCTTTCGAAAAAAACCCGTTTCTATAAACCGATAATTTTTGTGCCGTCCTCTGCCCCTCTGGAGGAGAGCCGAGTGTGGGCTCAGTCTCTGAAGTGAGCTGTAATAGATTTCCAGTGGGCAGAGAGTGGAGGACATCGCAGCTTCTGAGGCAGCAAGCTTGTGGAAGCACTACGCTGTTGTGCTGACGTGACTAAATCCTGTGGAGACTCTGCTCAATAAAGCAGCAGTTAAACAAGTCTGATCTCCGCTGGGTCAGTTCCCAGCTGCCCTCCTCCCCTTCCAATCGGGGCTGTGAGCGTGTATTACAACAGCACAAACGCACAGTGGCACAAGGCTTTTTCGCATCCGCGCCTTGAATGAATCATCATGTGTAGGTGTGAGGCACCGACGTAAATGTGGTCACATGTTTCTCCTATCTGACAGGAAAAGATGAAGGGTAAAAATAAGCTGGTCCCGCGGCTGCTGGGGATAACCAAAGAGTCAGTGATGCGAGTGGATGAGAAGACGAAGGATGTGGTGCAGGATTGGCCTCTGACAACGGTCAAGAGATGGGCTGCCTCCCCCAAGAGCTTCACCCTGGTACTGTGCGACTCTTTACACGAAGATCTCAGCATTACTCACTGATGTCACATGTTATATAACCTGCGCACATATTCACTTATTCTGTGTGCAGCGTGATTTACAAGGGTCTGCATCCCTTTTCTATCTTCCGTCTTTCCTTTAGCACTTTTCATTTCCAAATACAAACAGCATTCTAAAAATTGTGGAGACCTTAGACTCCAATATTTATTGTTTTCAGAACGCTAGCCAGTAATTTCATCCGAGGTAACAATAGAAGCCAGGGGAAGAATGGGCCGAATATGGATGTATTATTTAATTGGATGTTTTTTTTCCAGCTACCGGCAACAGTACTCTCTGCTTTTCTCCCATATTGGAACACTCCATTTAAAGATTAATTGATTATGCAAATTAAAGAAAGAAAAACCCAACATTGATTTAAACTGAAAATGTTCACTGTAACGTTTCTGTAGAATGCTTGGAAGTTAAAAGTTCAATCAACCACACGGCATTCTGAATCAGTTCTGTGGATAAATTATTATTAATTATTATTATTAGGTTAAGAGTATTTTAGAAATGCCAGATAGGTGTTAAAAATTTACCTGAATCTCTGCTTTCTTTAACACATTACAAAGGATTTTGGAGAGTACCAGGAGAGTTACTACTCCGTCCAGACTACAGAGGGAGAACAGATATCCCAACTTATTGCTGGATACATTGACATCATTCTTAAGAAGGCAAGTAAAACAACATTTCATCACTCTTTTCGTTACACATATTCAGCCCATATGGTTAACTGTAATGTATGTTTCCCTTCTTTCTATAGAAGCAGAGTAAGGATCGCTTTGGCCTTGAGGGGGATGAGGAATCCACCATGCTGGAGGAATCGGTGTCCCCTAAGAAGTGAGTGGCGCTCATGTATTATTAAGGAGACCATTCTGATTTAGCAAACACAAGTCTAGTTATTCAAACATCTGTTTTTCAACTGCATTTGATTACATCTCTGCCAGCAATACCCCCGAGGAGGTTATGTTATTAAACATAAAAAATGCTGTTTGAATAGAAATTAAAAAAGGATTTGTGTTCATGCAGACCTACACCAACACAAAACCTTCCTCAGCCAACCCCTAAAATAATCATTCCCCCTTCACCCTTGAGAAATTAAAATATTACACTGGTGAAGAAATCACCTCGTTCAAAGCAATTGTATTTATCCATTTATATCTCCCAATTGGATGCGGTCTGATATCCTGTGCAGCTTCTTAACTGATGGAAATTAATGTAATGTGGACGGACCGGAGCTCTATCACACAGAGCTTAGAAATTTTTTGGCACTGGAAATCCACATGGCACTTAGCGGACCCACTCTGGCAGAATGGGGCATCATATTCCTGCTGCTTATGTGCCAATTGACTCTTGTTGTGGTTCTCAGCACAAAACATAATTGCTCTCTCAAAACAAGCCATAATTTACCAATGGAGTCACGAGCATCTGTCGAACTGGGAAGGGAAACAGATTTGTTTTTTACAATGCCTACTTACCGTGTTAACAGTTTTTAGCGTAATAATTGTTTTAATTAAAATGTTGTAACAGTTGCGGTTGTCGCCTGGGGCAATTATCTACATTTAAAGATACACTCACAAGTAACACAAAGCATCATCTTTAACTCCCATCATAATACATCTACTGCATAGTGTTCAAATGCAGCGTTTCACCTTACTGTATATTACATACACATCCTTTCGGACCCTCGGGTCCTTAGCTTAGCGTCTCTGACATGATGTCATGATTGAAATGTGTTTATTTATAAAAATTCAACATGCGCTTCCAAACTCTTTTCTTTCTGTTCAAGGTCCACAATTTTGCAGCAGCAGTTCAATCAAGTGGGTTGCGTGGAGCACGGCTCAGTAGCACTTCCAGGAATTATCCGGTCCGGGTCTATTGGCGGTCCTGACACCTTCAATATGGGCACTATGCCCTATGCCCAGCAGCAGATCACCACAGGGCAGATGCACAGAGGACACATGCCCCCCCTGGTGTGGAAGAGCATTTACACTTGCGTATTTGAAAATTAAATGGAAGCATCCAGCTCGGCCAGTCTCCGAAATTAAAATACTGTGTGAACTACCAAAGACAGGGCCAAAGGAATTAGAAAATAATCTAGCACTGCATCTGTTCTCATTTACTTGATTTTATTATGACACAGTGTCAGGGTATGTCATGTAAAATCATGTAAATATGATATGCAGTTTTTTAAATACCTATTGTGGTCCCTGCTCTCAACAATAGAAGGAGGGCGTTGAGCGAGGCAGGGAATGAAAATCTCTCATATCTCATATTCACACTGAGAGCACATCCGTGTTGATAAACAATATATTTCAGGACTGGGAGTTTCACAGATTTCTCGAAACAAAGTACAACAGACATTGTGTATTTACATTGCTTTTGTCATTTACTCTTTGTGTGTCTCTGTTGCTTCGTGTTGCCAGAGTCTGGCCCAGCAGGCCTTAATGGGCACCATAAACAGCAGCATGCAGGCTGTGCAGCAGGCTCAGGCGGACCTGGGATATGTAGATAATCTGCCTCCACTGGGCCGTGATTTGGTGAGTCTCCCGCCCACTTACTACAACGTTTGGAGAAATGATTACGAGTAGGTGCGGCATGGATAGATATACCGTGCTATACTCCTCCGTTTCATCGTCATATACAGAAACCCCTCGAGGTACACACTCACGCCGCAGACTCTGGTTTTCAAAGCAACGGCAGATTAGAACAAATTAGAACTGTATTTAATGCTTGAGTGTTTCCAGAGCCGTAGGTGTTGAACAACCCTAGTCCTTTAATCCTGCATGAGAAAGTTTATTTGAGCAGAAAATCACCCACTGTGATGAAAGCCAATAGCTCTTCTTCTCCTCCTCCCAAAGGCATCCAGGGTTTGGGTTCAAAACAAAGTGGATGAATCCAAACATGAAATCCACCCTCAGGTGGATGCCATCACTGCTGGAACAGCATCTGTGGTCAATCTCACTGCAGGTGAGTGCGCAGGAGAATACTGAACAGCCTTAGTAATCATCATCAGCTGCCGAATCATGTTTTAGGATGTCTGCACTGGACAATATTGTAAAAATAAAGTGGATCTTTGAATTATTATCAATGGGTTTCATGACAGCCTTTTAAAGTGCATTTCCAATGATAGATATTTTGTGAGATAAATCTAAACCTGAATTCTTGAACTGAAGCTCAACTTGCCAGCAGTGTCTCTTTCTGCTCCCCTTGCCGCCAGATACAATGCCAGTGGAGTTGCTGCCTATTGTAGGGTTTTAATCTCACCTCGCCATCTGTTTGCTTGCACTTAAACACCCTCCACTTTCTAATGCAGATTTTTCTCCTCTTCACGGCCACTTGGTTCATCAATGCGCTCATCGCCGTGGAACCATCTTAAATTGGCACCAATTTAGACGCCAACACTAATGCATGCGTTATAGTATACGACACGCACGTCGCCCCCATGCAGTGTGTCGGCAGCACCACAAATTGAGACGCGAAGCAAAAGTGTCCTTTTTTTGTAATGATTCCCAGGTGAGCCCACAGAAACTGACTACACAGTGGTGGGATGCGCCATCACCACCATCTCCTCCAACCTCACGGAAATGTCCAAGGGTGTCAAGCTGCTTGCGGCGTTAATGGGCGACGAGGTGGGCAGCGGACACAAGCTCATGGGCGCTGCCCGGATGCTGGCCGGAGCCGTGTCGGATCTGCTCACCTCTGTCGAGCCCGCGGCAGCCGAGGTGAGACGCTCGCCGATGATCAAAAACAGTGTTTGGTTATGACTTGTATGAAGATGAAGGTAATCTAGGATTGTTTTTGATCCAGCAGTCTGTTTTTGATTATTCATCTAGGCCTGTTTGAGAAACCGGCCAACCCAGAGTAATGGATGTGCTGATGTCATTCTCTCACAGCCCAGACAGACGGTGCTGACTGCAGCAGGAAGCATCGGACAGGCCACCGGGGACTTGCTCCGTCACATGGGGGAGGGCGAGACCGACGAGAAGTTCCAGGTTGGACGCCACCCACTCGCTGTTCCTATGACACTACCGGCCAAACAGGAAGACACACACATAACCTCAGGCCCCCATTAGAAATGTCGATACACATTCAAGTAATCACCTCAGACTTTATTATTAGACTGTTACTTTATGACAAAGTGTCACAGAGAGTTTTTAGAAGTAAAACAACAGTACAGCATCTCAAACATACTGTAACACAATTATCCTAATAATCATTCCCCTGCCACATACACATCTTTCGCCTTCTCATGGCCTTGCATAACAGATTATATTTATTATTCACCCTACCACTGCATGAAAAGTGAGATTTTCGCCCCCGTAAACGCCCGGAAATCTCCCTAATTTCCGACAGTTTCCGACAATTTGCAACCCGCGCACGTCGCGTTTGTCTGTGCCACAAATTGTTGGAAACGAACCATGACGTATGTGGAGAGCTGGCGGCAGAGGTGTCAAAAGTATTCACATTCATTACTCAAGTAGAAGTACAGATACTAGGGTTTAAAAAGACTCCTATAGAAGTTGAAGTATCGACTCAAGCTTTTTACTTAAGTAAAAGTATAAAAGTACTGGTTTCAAAACTACAGAACTACAGTGATCAGAAGGTGCCTGCAGATCACGTGACCTGCCGTTGGGATGGTGGAAACAACAACAACAACAACAAATGTATCTAATTAACTTAAACAGATAAAACCACAACCCATTTTCCAGTGACACGAGTCACACACACGTTGTTCGCATTGATGAGGTAGACTGCAGTGTCTCCCCAGGTTTACCACATCATTGGGGGGGGCGCCCCCTGTTTATAATGATGGGAAACACTGAACTGTCAGCGGTCGGTTATCAAAACATTGGCCAAATAATCAGTATTTTCAGGCTTCATGAGCAAATACAGAATCCCTGTGCGTTCATTTCTAAAGCGGCATTAAGACACACATCACTTTATTTAATACGCTACGTGCAAGTCGCTGTGTTGTGCCAGACTCTCAATACTCGCGCTAAATACCAACTTTCCACCGACCACTTTTCCCACCCGGTGTCGCTCCGATCTGCCGGCGCATCGCGGAGAAAACCAATCGGGTGTCTGGATGCTAAATGTTTATATTTCCCATCCAAACCCAATATAATGCACTCTGTCCGGATAGCGACATTTATCTGGATGGATTTTTTTTGTCTTTGTGTTTTTGAACTACGAGAAGCCGGAAGTAACGAGGCTGTTTTTAAAATGTAAGGAGTAGAAAGTACAGATATTTGCGTGAAAATGTAAAGAGTAGTAAAAAGTAAAAAGTTGTCTGAAAAATAAATATTCCAGTAAAGTATAGTTTATAAAATTTCTACTTAAGTACAGTAACGAAGTATTTGTACCGGCGGAGGTGCGAATGGCCCTAATTAGCATATGAATGCAGCGAAACCGCAGGTGGCCGAGCGGGCTTGAATATCCTAACTCCTTATTGGATAAAACCACAACTTTCTAACAAGTAAAATCACTCGTAATTGGTTGGCAGATCTGTCGCTATTGGTCACCCGCCATTGTAAAAACAACAATGAATCAGTACTGTGCGTACGGACACAACACATCTATCAATGCACCTGAAAAAAGTCAGCAAATAAACTCTGACCCTCTTTCTTCTCGCTCGACTCCGCGCTGAATCCTTCGCAGCTTCCGCCCGTAATGAGTGTTCCGGCTGAACCTGAAGCTCCTGTGTCCCATCTCACAATACGTCTCACAGGCGGCTGGAAAATAATTAAATGAGTGTGGTATGAATACAAAAAAAATCAAACGCAAGTCACAGTAACATTTAACAAGGAAGGAGAAACAGTAAACAGTGTCAATTACACACAATGACGTCTTTATCTAAATCGAAATCTGGACTTTATCTAAATGGAAATCTGGCGAGATTAGTCTGAAAACAAAATGTACAGTTATGATCGGTATCCATCCTATGGTATCTATACGTATATATTTCCTTATACCGCAGAATGAAAGCATATTCTTTAAATCTTACCCTTGCTCCGGTTCGTAGCGCCTGTAATTTGTCTCGGAGTTGTGAAGACGGCGCACCGCTTCCTGTAAACCAGTGTTTTTCAACCTTTTTTGCGTCAAGGCACACTTAAGACACAGAATAAATCTCACGGCACACCAACAACTGGAAATGATATGAAAATCATTCCCAAACATAGTTTCAGCATGAGCATAATATACTCTAAGAAATCAGGGAAACGCGTGTTCTATTTGTTGTGTTTTATTAAACTTAACATCATAATGCCACGATGGCACAGGCTTTATGCCCAGGTATCTCTTAAGCCTAGTTTATGCTTCTGCGTTTCAGAGCGACGCAGACGCGAGACCCCCTTGCGTGTCCCTTGCGTCCAGGACTGTAGTGGAGGGTAAACGCACATAAACGCTGTTTACTCACCTCTGGAATTTTGTAAATAGCGTTTAAACCACCTCTAAGTGGCGTTTACGCACCTCAAAGTTCCCTGCGCCTTGTATTTTTCCGTTGGAACAATCCGAAATAAACTTGGTGTAATTTTAAAACAGACTACGTTTCCTATTGTTGAACACAGTGCTGTAGTGGTTAAATTAGAGGTGGGTAAACTCTGAATTGTGTGATCATACAGACCTCGACGCGATGCGAAGCAACGCAACACAAAGCGGCGCGACTCTGTAAGGCTGTCCTGGCTATATTGCATTATGTTATCAGTAAAAGTCATATACAATCAATGACAATGAAAACATGTGTTAGTAGTTTGTAGTTTATTAAATTTAAGAAAACCCCAGAACACGCGTTCTGGGGTTCATGGCTCCTCTGTGCTTCTCCTCTCTCTGTTGGACCTGGTGTTTCTCCTCTCCCTGTGCTCTCTGCATCATTGCCTGTCCTCTCACTGCCTGAAAAAATATGTTGAATTTAAGAGTTAACCAGTTAAGCAGCCTGTCAATTACACTGACAACATGAGTTAAAGGAACACTACCTATGTCATCATAAATAGCCTATACAGCTTTATACAGTTTTTTTTCACATTAAATTACATTACATCAAATACAATCATAACTGTACATTGGCATTATTCTATTACAGTTGCAGAATTACAGTGGTTTTCCAATATTGTCATTACTTTATTTCAGATTTAAGTTTCAGAATCATGGCTGTATTCTGGTGTACACTATATGCATTTTTAGTAATTTTATGAACCGGATCGTCAATTTGTTTCTAATATCCTACAACGGCCATTTGAAGAAGTGACACGAGAAGTTTCATCTGTAAAGTATGTTTCAGTCTCCAAAGTGACTCCGCTTGTGTCACTTATTCACAGGGCTGTAGCAGCCTGTGAACGTCAAGGCAGCTCCCTTGCCACACAACTGGCACAGCAGATTCAGGGGTATTGAGAGAATTTACTGTCTAGCTGCCAGTACATTTCTGGATGTTAGATTTAAACATCTTGGTTTTCGAGACAAAGACAATGTGGAGGTAATGAAAAAGCGTCTTCTTTCTGAAATACAGGAAGTCTATCAGACAGGACAGGCAGCTCCCAGTTTAGCCCCAAGCTCAACAGCTACTGTTAGCTCTACCTCAGGGCCTTCTTCCTCTGGGCCTTCTGCCTCAGAGCCAAACCAGAGTCCTGCCCCCTCAGGTTCAGCTGTATTAAAAGGAGGCATATGGACTGATTTTGACATGCAGGTTTTGTCAGGACAACATCGCCGGTCAGCTACCAGCGATGTGCTCATTGAAGTACATCGGTACTTGGAAGAAAAAGTGATTCCCAGAGACAGGGATGCACTGGTTTGGTGGAAAGAACATGACCAAACCTTCCCAGCCCTGAGCAAACTAGCAGTGAGATACCTGGGAATTACTGCCACTTCTGTACCAGCAGAGAGAGTCTTTTCAAAGGCAGGAGCGGTTCTAAGAAAAAAACGGAACAGACTTAAGGGGAAGACAGTAAACATGCTGTTGTTCCTTAACAAAAACTTGTGAACGATGGAAAGTGTCAATGTTGGATGCTTTTGTTGAAGTGTTTTCCTGTTAACATGTTCATAACGTAACGTAAATTAAGATGCAAACCTTCATTTTTATAGTGGTTCTTATTTTTGTTTATTATTCTGGTAATTATTCTAATGGTTTTATTATTTACTTATGATCTTTTTTTAGTGATGGAAACACCTTTTTCAAACACTCTTGTTTTTCTGTTGTTGTAATAGCTCGGCTAGCATATTGTCAATGAGGCCGCTACCTTTTTAGTTTAAAGTTTAAAATAAATAGCTAAATAACTGACTATGAGGTATTGTATTCTTAAGCTATGTATTTAAAATACACTACTTTTTTTAGATCTACCATCCACAAAGTATCGGTATTGGATCGGTATCACCGATACCAGCCTGAATTTTACTCAGCATCGGATCGGAAAGGAAATCTGTGGTATCGAACATCACTACTGAATATAGTAACACACACGTGTCTGTTTATATCATATGTGTCAAACTCAAGGCCCGCGGGCCATATCCGGCCCGGCATGCAATTATATCCGGCCTGCGAGATCATTTTATATTATTGTTACTAATGGCCCGACGATATGAAGTGCTGATAACAAAACAAACTACAGATCCCACAATGCAGCGCTTCAGCTGCCTTGCTGAGCGCTTTCCGCGGCAATTAGGTCACGTGCCTGCTGTTGCAAGTTATTGCGAAGCGAGCCCCTCATGATGCCGAAGAGAAAAGTTGATTTCAAAACCGATGGGAGGCGGAGTATATGTTTACTGACATTGCCGGTAAGCCCGTTTGTCTCATCTGTGGCGCTAATGTGGCTGTATTTAAAGAGTTTAATCTAAGACGGCACTATGAGACAAAACATCAGGATAACCTGAAAGACCTGAATGCAGAGCAGAAGATACAGAAAGTACAAGAGTTGAAGAAGAAGCTGACATTCCAGCAGACGTTTTTTACCCGTGCAAAATCAAAAAGTGAAGCTGCTGTGAAAGCAAGTTTTATCGTGGCGGAGGAGATCGCCTAAGCAGCACGGCCATTCACAGAGGGAACATTTCTAAAGAGCTGCATGGTCAAGGTGTGCGACGTCATATGTCCAGACAAAAAGCAGATGGTGGCAAATTTAGGCCTACATTTTATTTATATTTCCAGGTTTTGTTTTGCAGCATGTTCATATTTCTAACTTGTATAATTTTGACACGAGATATTTTTATGGAGAGTAAAATCATTTGGGATATTTAAAATTTAAGGTTTTTTTAATATAAAATGACATAAAAGCAAAGAAACTCAAATGTTTTGATTTGTTATTTTAATGTTTACTTAAAGCACAAGCTGTCACAATTTTTATTTATTTTTTCAGGCGTTTTTTTGCAGGATGTTCATATTTCTAACTTGTATAATTTTGACTGGATATATTTTTATGGAGAGCAAGACATTTTAAGTTATTTAAAGTTTAAGGTTATTTATTCCAGGATAACATTCATGTCTGTTTGTATTTATATTTATGTTAAAAGAAACATTTCGTTTTAGTGTGTTCAATAAATGTTTATTCTGTTCGGCCCGCGACCTGAAGTGTGTTTTGAATTTTGGCCCCCTGTGCAATTGAGTTTGACACCCCTGGTTTATATGCTCGTCTTGCAAGTACTGCTGTATGAGTCGTGCCTATGACCTCACACGTGATTGGACGAGGAGTCTAAGGGTCCTCCAATCACATACAAGGTTATTGTTATACGGAAGGACTCGCGAGACCAGCTGAGCTCGCGTATAAACAAGACCGGTGTGCCTGCCTATGAGACGGTGACGCTGCTAGAGGTCCTGACTGTCGGCGTTGTTTAATCCCACGGCGCCTTAGTAGATGGCCGGAAAGATTCGTTGTGTTTCCGTGTTTTTTATTTGGCTTCTACATGTTCTACAAACAGCGACCGACGTATTTAGAACACCTCCGTGTTTGCAAAAGCCAAAATGTTTCCACACGCTGGATCGATAAGTTGGTTTGTAAATGTCTCGCTCGCAGTCGTCTCCTCCACGCTGTGTTTTGTTGTTGTTCAGAGTTTCGCGCGGCTGCCGCCGCGTACTGATGACGTCACAGACTCCAATGTGCAGTTTCCAAGTATCGATACAAATTGATTATGTGCCATTTCAATTGATTTGTAATCGATATATGTCGTCCGGAATGCCAATTTGCTGAGCACAGATCGATTCAGTTGGATCGCAGGAATATAAATCAATTAATCGATTCAGTGGATGAATCGTTACACCCCTACTGGCTATGCTGTGAGTTGAAAGATGGAAGTCCTAAGACCGAGGAAAAGACCTCGGCGCAACTGTGAACATTGCATCACTGAACTCTGTCATACACAGTATTTTGACCACAGAAAGCGCTATTTCAAAAAAGGACTAGGTCAGATAACGCACAGAGCTTGTTGCTATCCAGTCATGAGCCAACCGGCGGGAGTTATGTTCAACCTGGAGTTGGAGAGATTGATGAAGGTGAAATGCAGTCCGAAGACCCAGAAAAAGAAGTGAACAGTTTTGAGGAACCCGTCCTTGACCCTCTAGCAGAACTACGACCAGCCATTATAAAGCAGTTTATAGTTGTTAATGTTGTGTCAAAGAGTACGGCATTTAAACACGTTCTTGCAGAAGTTTCCTGGCTTCATCTCCACCCGGACAGACATTTTTATGGAAAGCCAATAGAAGTTTGGGGCTTGCAGGGAACAGACACGTCATACTCAGCATCATTTCTGCCAGTTGAGCGCATTGCTAGAAGATGTGTGGTTAATACATCCTCTGTGCATTTAATTAAACCAAAGAAAAGGTCACTGTAGTCCTGCCACTATGCACTGTAGTGGAGCTCTAGGAGACTGTGATCTCTGCAGACCCCTCATTCTGATTCAAATGTTGTTTGCATGGAATGCTCATTTTATCTTGATTAACACTCATTTTTTAAAGAAGTTATTTTGTGTATCTTTTTTACATAACATTTGCCATTGCTAATGGCGTACACAGTAATCTAGCATATTTGAATTAAATAAATCAATTCAAGCTAAAATGTAAGAGTCTATAATTAGGCTACTGAGCCTGATCTATTTGTACCAGAGATTTTCTTACCTTTTAAAAAAATGTCACCTGGGCTAAAACTCCCTCTGCGACCCTGATTTGCATTTGTATAGCTCACAGCATTTTCATTTACATGTCAAAGCCTCCCCTAGAAATAGGAGGAAGGGGGTCATGGGGGGACAACTGCCAAGGGAGGCCCACGTCATTTTCTGACAATTTACGTCAGTTTTCGGCGTTGCCCGCAAATTGCCGTGAACAGCCGTAAACCTGAAATTCCACGACAATCTACAGTGCCGCATACTGACGAAAATCCCACTTTTCATGCAGTGTACCTATCATTACCTCTTGTTCAAGATATTTTTACTGCTGCAATACTGTAATTACTTTTGCATTAAATGTTGTATACATTAAATGTACACAGTTTTCAACAAACGGGTTAAAAGCATTTGCTCTCTCCTGGTCCCTCCACTAACATACATGGCAGCTTTAGCCGATTTCAATGATGGACATTGATTAATATGTTGCAGGACACCCTGATGAATCTGGCCAAAGCAGTGGCCAATGCAGCTGCTATGTTAGTCCTGAAGACCAAGAATGTGGCCCAGGTGGCCGAGGACACCATATTGCAGAACCGGGTGATCGCAGCTGCCACTCATTGTGCCTTGTCCACCTCACAGCTGGTTGCTTGCACCAAGGTACTGGTCTAAATCTGGTTCATCTCTGTAGCCAAGTGGTAAAGGACACACCAAAAGGCAGGAAATCATGAAATGAGGGTGTGTGATAGTGGTCATTCAAGTTACATATGTGCACCAACAAAATAAGTGAATTATATCCATTAGATAAACAATTTACCTTTTCATTTTCTAAAGGGCTGATTTATTGTAGTTTACGGTGACTCGGTCCGTCTCATATCACAATAAACTCTTGTAATCATCCTCCTGCTAATGACTTTGTGTGGTGCAGGTGGTGAGCCCAACCATCAGCTCCCCAGTGTGCCAAGAGCAGCTTGTCGAGGCGGGAAAGCTGGTAGACCGCTCGGTGGAAACCTGCGTCCAGGCTTGCCGCTCGGCCAGCGGCGACGGCGAGCTGCTGAAGCAAGTCGGGGCGGCATCCGGCGTGGTGAGCCAGGCGCTCAGCGACCTGCTGCAGCACGTCCGCCACTATGCCAGCTGCGGAGAGCCCATCGGGCGTTACGACCAGGCCACAGACACAATCATGAATGTGACGGAAAATATTTTCACCTCCATGGGGGATGCTGGTGAGTACCAAAATGAGTAGTCAGAGAATGGTGTGGGTAACCTCTAGCTAAAAATGCTTTTTAGTAAAGTTGTTGTCTAATTAGTTTACTTTTAACAAAATTCAGGTGACAAATTCAGTTCCGGTGACTTACCTGCTTGCACTCGATGCATTGCTCAATGTGTTTTGGACAGTCGCTTTGCATTTGTATGTATGTTAAGTGATCTAAGTATCCTGTGAAATGTTAACAACGCTCAGGCTATTTGTTATGGTGTGAGGCACAAGGCTGAAAAATGTCCAAACCCAGCCAACTCTCAAGGGGTTGTAAGAAACATGTCAACCAAAACCACTACAGAGCTCTCAATCTGGTCTTAATCAGCAACAGGGAGGCTTTGAAACTTAAAAAGAAACACACGAGGAGGGGCCTTTTTGGAGGGACAAACCTTTGAAAAAAGATAATATAATGGGGGAAAAAGATTAGTATTCAGTGATGATTTCTACAGAAATTATATTGGATGATAACCAAAGACATTAAAAGCAGGTTGTAAGACACCTAAATATCTTGTCTTTTACAGTCTTCTCTCGAAGAGTTATTTTGAGATATGTTTAAAGCAGATGTGTGGGGAGATGTTACAAATATTACAAAGACTCTGATTTCTGTGAGAGAGGACAAATCACTTATAAAAGTTAAATAAATTGTGATAGCGAATAAGCAAGTATAGGACACAGAAATGTCTTTATTGGTGCACAACGGTTTGGTTATTAATAAATTGTCAACTGTCAAACAATCAATCACAGCGCTTCTTCCTGAAATGGTTGGGCTTTTAATACCTTGTATGAGGCTCAGTGTGCAGGGTGTTCCACGTACGGTGCATCTTCTCACTTACTGTATGTGTGGCAGGTGAGATGGTGCGTCAGGCTAGGGTGTTAGCCCAGGCAACCTCCGACTTGGTCAATGCCATGAGATCTGACGCCGAGGCAGAGATTGATGTTGACAACTCCAAGAAACTGCTGGCATCAGCCAAACTTTTGGCTGATGCCACAGCCCGGATGGTGGAGGCAGCTAAGGTATCCGTGTTTAACTAGTATTGTAATGTGTAAACTCCTCTTATTACTGTACCTATTCGCTTTCTTCCACTAAAACATTGCCTTTTCTCTGATCTATATCTAATACAGAATAATTGGTAGTTAAGTTAACACTATAATATCAGTTTGATTCATAAATGTATGATAGATTATTCATTTTATTCTGTTTTTCTCTGTTTGTAGCAGCACTGCCACGGTGTCTTTAATGTCATATCCTGAAGACATGCAAAGATGAACTCAGCTGACTTACTTTCATTTGATGCTGTGTGCAATACTTTTTGCTATCAATGTCGAAAGACCCAGACAATAAAAATGCTGCCTATGGCACAATGGGTGTTTTGGATCAGCTGTGGAACATTAATAACTACATCACTATTATCAAAGAGGAAGTGGGAATCTTGCGCTGATGGTTTCCTTGGTAACAGCCAAAAGCACACAGATCTAAATGCCCATCTGCATCTATTGCACAATGATTAACTGCCATTGTTGAGGTCTGAATAGCTATTGTTATGTGCTGTATTGTATGTGTCACTGTCATGTGTTCATGTGCTCCCAGGGGGCAGCTGCTTACCCAGAGAATGAGGACCAGCAGCAGAGGCTTCGAGAGGCAGCAGAAGGGCTCCGTGTGGCCACGAATGCTGCAGCTCAGAACGCAATAAATAAAAAACTAGTCAACAGGCTGGAGGTGAGTCATTGTGTTCTGATCTACAGTGTGTTGTTTGCCCTTCAAACACAACACCATTCCTGGTTTGTCAATACCAACAAAGACTTCACATCTTTCTTTTCTACATTTGTTTATATCTTTATTATAAAGATAATATATATATAAAAATGTCAGTAACAATAATGAAATCAATGGGTTATATCCCTTTTCCGTCGCAAAGAGCTATGAATCCTATTAGTGCTGTAGCCCCCGGCACCCAGGGTTCAATTTCCTAGGAACACAGACTATATTTAGGTTTGTTCTGTTTGTCTTTTGTTGCTTTTTTATATGGAATCATGTTGAATAAATGCATTACACAGAACTGGGATTAGCCATGCGTCAGATAGTAATGTTGCTAATGGTCGCCTCCATCAAGCAAATGTGTGAGTTTTTGAAGACTAAGGTTACTGTAATCTGCAAGCGTGCATGTAACAATTATCACAGTTACCCCTTAGGACCCGTAGGGGGGAGCCCTTTAAACTTACCTGTTGTCTCTAGACTGACATTCATCCGGCTGCTGCGCAGATGTGCACATGCTTTGTATAGAAATTGCTATTCATACCTAGCATGTCACTTCTGCATGCAGCTCAGTCTTTTTTCACCCTTCCTCCTCCTCGCCTCAGCAAGGAATGTCTTCTCCCCCATGTTTTCAATCTTCTCATCACTTCAAGGCTGGTCCCCTGTCTATGAATTAAAGTGAGCTCAGCAATGTGTTGTTTAGTGCTTCAGTTGTGGAAGCATTACACCGGGAAAAGAATGCCGCACATCCCATGAGATAAATATTTAGCGCCGCCCGCTATTTACCGCCGCCCGCACCAATCTCTTGCTTTAGCTGAAATGATTTCCATTTGTATCACCTCAACAGATAGCCGCTAAGCAAGCAGCGGCTGCGGCTACTCAAACCATTGCAGCTGCCCAAAATGCTGCTGCTTCCAATAAAAACACCATCTCACACCAACAGCTAGTTCACAGCTGCAAGGTAAAACCACTACACTTATGTATTCAAAAAATTGAAAATCCTTTCATAGAAGAAGAAGGTAGAATGTATTATATGCAGCTCTTTTAATCATGCCGTGGATAGGAAGCATACACTGTTGGTATTTCCGATGTAGGCAGTAGCAGATAGCATTCCCCAGTTGGTGCAGGGGATGAGGAGCAGCCAGGCTCAGCCCGAGGAGCTTGGTACCCAACTAACCCTCATCATGGCCAGCCAGACGTTCTTACAGGTGAGACCTTTCACCGTGACATAGTCGGCTGCTATCAAACTCTCTGTCGTCAGATTCACACGCAAAAACTGCTTCTCAGGTGCTCATGAAGTTGTGTTGTTGGTTTGTCACCCTGACGCAGCCCAGCAGTAAGATGGTGACATCTGCAAAGTCAACAGTCCCGACTGTGGGGGATCAGGCTGCTGCTATGCAACTGGGACAGTGTGCCAAAAACTTGGCTACCTGCCTTGCCGAGCTCAGGACGGCGACCCGGAAGGTATCTAACTGTTAGAGAAAGCAAGAGGAATCTCGCTGATGTAGGAAATGTGTTGGTGTCCATGGTTGGTTGGTAGGCCCAGATCATAAATAGAGACACCAAGCACAGCATATAGGCTGACATCCTGTCTGCACTGCACTGCATAATGGATTGCTGCTTGTGAGTAACATTTGCTGTATTTGTGTGTGTTTGTGTACGCATCGTTTGTAGGCCCATGAAGCCTGTTGTCCGCTGGAGATCGATTCGGCCCTCAAAACCGTACAGACGCTGAAGAGTGAGCTTCGGGATGCGAAGATGTCCCTCATTGATGGCCAACTCAAACCTCTTCCTGGGGAGTCGGTCGGTAGATAACAGTAGAAACATCTGCTTTGAAGTTAGATAGACATACTTTCCCTATGAGGAGATCACAACTAGGAATCAAATGGTTCACTTGTCTGCGTGTTTTTGCCCCCACAGTTGGAAAAATGTGCTCAGGATTTAGGAAGTACGTCTAAGGCTGTGGGTTCCTCCATGGCCCAGTTGCTGACATGTGCTGCTCAGGGAAATGAACATTATACAGGTAAAAAAAGTGCATTCGAGCTGGTCTCAGCAGCTGCCTAATGTGTTTACATCGCCAGAATGGATAGACAGAGTACATATATGTGGATTGCTCACTGTACACAGACGGTATGAGTGTGAGGATAAAGCAGGCAGTGAAATTGTGATTCCTTTATTCGTACAATCACTATTGCCTTTGAATCCATGGTTTGGATGTTTTGTCGTAAATTCTGGCCCAATTAGCACTGAGATCCTCATCAGGGGAGGAGAGATTAAGATAGAGAAAATAACTTCTTACAATGAACGCTCCCCCTAGCTCTTCATGCTGTGTCCTGTGGTGCTGCTTTTTACTCATTAATCTTATTTTCACTAGATTTAACATTCCATCAGCAAATGGCTCCACTCGGCTGGTTAATTTGATGGAATTTTCTGCTTTTCTTCTTGGTTCTGTTCATAATAAATTAATGGCATTTCTGTGTGGAGCCATATTTATTATATTATCTCATTCATTTAAACAGTGAAGGCACATTAGGATCACAGTTTGTTGTCAGTGTGGTACAGATAGCCAGTGACAGCTGATTTGCACAGTGCACAGTACAATTAGAGTTAAGACAGAAAATACAGATAACTCTCAGTGAATATTGCTTAAACAGGACTCCTGCAAAGTACAACTAATGAGATTTAAGTTCATGTTTAGTAAAACGTCACATTTATACATAAATATTGTGACTTACTCTCACTCAATAACATTATATTTCCTTTATATCTGTTAAGTATTAAACCTTTTTTTACATGTCATGCAAACAATGCACTCAGGCTGTATCATTAATTTCTAGAATTTACTGATCCTGTTATATACTGAATATTTCCCCCTGATATTCCATATTGGTTCCTAAAATTAAAACTATAGCATATAATTTAAATATGTTCGCAGGTGTGGCTTCCAGAGAAACAGCACAGGCTTTAAGGACATTGGCTCAAGCAGCCAGAGGTGTGGCAGCCAGCACCAAAGAGCCTCAGGCATCAGCCGCCATGCTCGACTCCGCTCAGTGTGTCATGGAGGGCTCGGCCATGCTGATCCACGAAGCCCATCAGGCCCTGGTTCATCCAGGTGACGCTGAGAGCCAGCAGAGACTGGCACAGGTATTATAGCTCCTAGCCACATATATGATATTCATGTACCGATCATATTGTTGATTTCTTTCCCTCTCTCTTCTTTCCATAACAATCAGGCCCCTCTAAGCGTTGCTATTTTCTTTCCTGCCTGTTATTCCTCCTTCAGGAGTGCCAAAGTAAGACCGATCATTCTGCTGCGGCCCTCTGGGGAACAAACATATTGTTTGGCTTATATCTGTGACAGCAGCGTAAATTAGTGACAAGGATTACTGTGCAGCGCAGTGAGCCCAATTTACATTTGAGATGTTTTTCCCCTTATAGCTTTGCTCCCGGAATTCGTGTGTCACATTGTTAGAATGATTGATGGCAGTCCATGACAGAGCGCTGTGCTGTGTTTCAGGTGGCCAAAGCAGTGTCTCACTCCCTGAATAATTGTGTGAATTGCCTGCCCGGCCAGAAGGATGTTGACATGGCCCTCAGGAGCATTGGTGAGGCCAGTAAGAAACTGCTGGTGGACATTGTAAGTCCCATCTCAATTTATCGTTTTTCTTTTGATTAGCACAAAAACACATTACAATATCTGCCCCGAACAAAATAAAGTGATTAATATACCACCCCATAACAGAGCAGGTTACCTCCATCTGACTTTGACTATGACAGTTAATGCGTTCCTTGTCTTTGAAGCTACCGCCCTGCAGTAAGACATTCCAGGAGGCCCAGAGTGATCTGAACCACACAGCAGCTGAACTCAACCACTCTGCAGGCGAGGTCGTCCACTCCTCCCGCGGAACGAGCGGCCAGCTGGCTGCGGCCTCGGGGAAGTTCAGCCAAGACTTTAATGAGTTCCTGGATGCTGGCATTGACATGGTGGGACACACCCAAGTAGGTTTCCTGATCACACTACTGACCCCCTACACACTCAGTTGAAACAGTTCAGTGGTGGTCCACTGTCAGCAGGATTTTACAAACGAAGAAGAGTTTATAAACCCTGAAGGACCAACAGAAGGAAGACTGAAATGCAGAGTGGTCAAAATCATCGCTTTGTGTATTTCCTCAGCTGTTTAAGTCATTTTGTTAATTAGACCTTTTCCACAATCAGATATAATGAGATCTTTTGACGTTTTTCTTATTTTGTTCATTAATTTCAAATGATTGTTTGGCATTGGGGTTGCTGTAGCATGACACCCAGTTTTAATACATTTTATACAATACTTTATGTCGGGGAGAATTTGTTGAGGTGCATATTGTGAGAGTCTCAAGAACTCGTATGTGACCTTTCTTGGGAAACTCGTGACCTGACCTAGTCTACGATAAAATCCATATGTGGCTTGGACAGACCATATCATGTTCTTCTATTTACCTTTCTCCTCATTTCTCCCCTGAAAAGGGGGAAGTTGTACGTTTTGCAGTTAAGCGGTTCAACCTGAAAATAGACCTATAGGTATTAATCAAGTGAAGTTGTTTAGATTAACCTATTACAAATGATAGGTCCAACAAGGGTTACGATATCAAGTGCAAATGACTCACACCGGACAGTGAAGTGTTAAAAAACCTGCATGTACTCTCATACCAATACAGCATCTATTCGATTGGAGATGGGCATAAAGGGCATCCCATGGGCAAATGATTTTAAAGTCACACTTTCGACTTAGAGTAGACATAATTGTAGTAAACCTTTAATCCCAACCAGACCACAGAGTAGAGATTGTACCAAACCAGCACCTCCCATTCCGGTCCATCCCTTAACCAACGGCAGCCGTTGTGTTAACTTCTATGCTCTGGATGAATTTCATCTAGGTACGAGTGACTGTAGTTATGATATTATCAGCTTCACCACTGAATCCAAAGATCTCGCATTACCGGAACAGGTTTATTTAGTTTGTGGCAACATCGCTTATAGCTGTGTTCCAGTCATAGGGAACCTTCATAAAAAGTCAGATACTGGGAAATGCTATTCAGCATACCTTGTACCCCTAATTAGACCGGCTGACTCCAAGGAACTTGCGCCGTTCCATGTACGTCATAAACGCGCCATTTCACTAGGTTCAAGGATTTTGAGCATACTAATACCATCGTATGGCACCTACAGGAGCCATAAGGAAATAATGGCACTCTCAACAGTACTGGAAAGACACATGAATAAGACTTCAATAGCACTTTCTGAAATGCAAAAGGGAGTAAATTACATCAAACACATGGTTTTACAAAATAGAATGGCTCTGGACCTCATTTTGGCCTCACAAGGTGGGGTATGCAAGGTAATTAACACTGAATGCTGCACTTACATCTCTGATGCAACATCATCAGTTTATGATGTGGTTGCAGACACAGAGCAAGGCATTAAGGAATTGCATGAAGACCACGGATGGAATCCTTTTGGGGAAATGCAGGCATGAGTTGGATCACGGGGAACTTCTCTCTTCTAGGAACTGCCATGGGAACTAGGGGGCATCATTTTGTCTGTAATTATTATAACCCTAATTGTAACTGTTTTAAAGCTCTTTGTAAGGAAGGTTGTCAGTACTTATGTATCAGTTGAACACATGAGTATCACTACACAGCGTCCAGTTCAGAAATGGACTCCACCATATCCGGATAGCCTTGACAGTTACGACTGTGAATATTGTGTGTAACTGGACGATATTTTATGTGTTAGTGGTTAGTAAATGTTCTGATGTACTTTGAGTTAATGATGTATGTTCTATGATTTTTTATGTTTAATTTTTCTTTCTTGATTTGAATTGATTGTTTAACGTTTTTCTGATTTCTTAGTTGTCAAAGAATGACAAAAAGAGAGGGATGTCAGGGGAGAATTTGTTGAGGTGCATATTGTGAGAGTCTCAAGAACTCGTATGTGACCTTTCTTGGGAAACTCGTGACCTGACCTAGTCTACGATGAAATCCATATGTGGCTTGGACAGACCATATCATGTTCTTCTATTTACCTTTCTCCTCTGTTTTCCTGTCTGTCAAAATGATTGACTTGGTCCACTAAGAGAGGGTCGCGGAGGTTCCCGAAACAACATCTGGTTACCATTCCTCGAACCTTCAGAGATGTATAAAAGCTCCTGGTTCCCCCCAGAAACTTGGTCAGATCTTCCTGCTCCTTTTGGGAGAAGGAACTTTCTGCCCCTTTTCAGCTGAATTGTAGTAACTTGACTTCTGTCTGTGCTTACGGCTTGTGCTGATGATTTCTGTATTCTTTATCATTTTTCTATATTCTAGTTAGTAATAAATACTTAATCACAAAGCAAGCTCAAGATACTTTTGATTTCTCACATGGGCTAAATCCACAAATTTCCACCACACTTTATCCTCTGACAGCTGTTGCCAATACCATAAATTAGGGCTGGGCGATATATCGGTATAAACGAATATATCAATATATTTTTTAGTGGGATATGGAGTTAGACAATTTCGCATACATCAATATATTTCAATTTGCGCTCTGCAAGCAAGCTGCTGACCCGGAGCTCTCTGCACTAATTCTCGCCCTCGCCCATCCTCTGTCACACGCAGAGGGGGGAGGGGCAGGGACACACACTTCAACAAACATGGAGGAAACAACAACGTCTGCGCAGCGTGCGGAGGAGGAAGAGGAGGAGGAGGAACTGGTTCGAAAAAAAAAAAGCAGTGGCTCAGTAATTTGGAGATGGTTCGGATTTAAAGTATCCGATGAGAAACAAAATAACATTATATGTAGGGAGTGTCATAAACAGGTTACAGCCAGGGGTGGAAGCACTTCAAATCTTTTTCACCACCTAAAACAACGGCACAAACTGCCATACGAAGAGTGTGTGAAACTGCGCGCTACAGAAGCCGCATGCCAGAAACGACCCGAACAAGCTCCAGCAAACCTCATTTTCCCGCAGTGTGCCTTATGAAAAGAAAAGTGACAAGTGGTGCACTATAACGAAAGCGGTGTCCTATCACATTGCTAAAGACATGGTCCCTGTTGCAACTGTTGAACAAGTCGGATTCAAAATGCTCCTGAAAACGATGGACCAGAGATATGAGCTTCCCAGTCACAACTACTTTGCAAGAGAAGAACTCCCAAACATGTATACTGAAGTCAGGCAGAGCCTTGCTGACCGGCTCGCTAATGTGACCCATTTTGCATTGACCAGCGATATGTGGTCAAGCAGGACGTGTGAGCCCTACATGAGCGTGACAGTTCACTTCATTCAAGACTGGGAGATGAAAACAGTGTGTCTTCAAACAATTTCCCCAAGATCACAACGGTGAGCATATAGCTGAGGCCCTGCAGGACGCAATTGCAACCTGGACTCCAAGAAAAGCATTTGGTAGCTATAACTACCGACAACGGAAGCAACATCGTCAAAGCGGTTGAAACAAGTGGCTGAAACAAGGTCTGAACAAGTGGCTGAGAATGCAGTGCTTCGGTCACAGACTACACTTGGCTATTGGTGAGTGCAGTGAAGTATTCAGATATTTTAAAATGTTAGTTTTTCCTTGTTTTTCTTTATGTGCCTGTCTGCATATTTGTGTTTAATATTGCTGTATTGGCCAAGTCTCTGTTGAAAAATTGATTGTCAAAAAGATTAGTAAAATACAAAACCTAAAGTGCTAAAAGTAAAATATCTTATAACACAGAATGGTAGATTTCCGAACCATATTTATTAGGTTATTGGTTATTTATGTTACACCTGGTAGGTGAGGTAATTATGACTTTAAAATGCTGGGTTAGCCTGTTGATATAATCAACGTAAGATAAAAAAAATTAAACCTATGAAACGAGAAATAATAATAACTGTAGAATATTTCTAAATTGATTTTAGAAAATACTTTGTTGTACGAGTGTGTTAAAGTGAAACCAGAGTAGAGTTTCTCGCTTGAGCACATTTGTTTAATAGTTTTTTATGATTCTGATAGGACATGGCATGAATGACAAGCGCGTCACCTGGGCCATTTCTCTGTGAAAGACGATTGTCAGCTGTTTTTCATACAGCTGGAAAAAAAGGAGACATCTTGCTGGAATCCAGATTCAGATGGGTCTGCCAAGCCACCAACTCATAACAGAGTCTGCCACACGCTGGGGATCAAGGCAGCAGATGATAGAGAGAGTCCTGGAGCAGGAAAGAGCACTGTCCAAAGTCCTGTCTGAGGACAAAAAGACCAGGTACCTTGTCCCTACCTGGCAGAATTTAGAGGTCCTAGAAGCAGTCCAAAAGGTCCTGAAACCGCTCCAGGACTTTACCGATGCTTTGTCAGCTGAGAAGTACGTCACTCTATCATATGTGAAACCTGTGTTGTACCTTTTTAACGAAAGTCTCCTGGCATGTGAAGAAGGTGATAGCGACCTCTGTAAATGAATCAAGACCAACATTGTTGAGTACCTCAACAGGAAGTTTTCTGACCCAGACACCACTGACCTATTGGACATGGCTTCATTTGTCGATCCACGGTTCAGGGCCACCTACATTCCAAGGGAAAAAGTCGATGCATTGAAGCACAGAGCTGTCTTGGAGGTGGATAGGCTACTGGCTGATCAGAGCAGCTGTCAACCGCATTACCAGCATGTGCCCACTGTGCCTGAGCCTGCAGATGGAGATGCAGCAGTAGCACCAAAAGCTAAGACACTGGCAAGCTTCTTCAAGCAGCTCACACCCACCACCACAGCAGCACCAAACAAGAGGGGGGCTATTGAAAATGAACTGTCAAGTTACTTGCAGTCAGCAAGTGTGGAGAGTGACACTGATCCCCTCAAGTGGTGGAAGGATCATGAAGTTGTCTTTCCAGGTCTGAGCCGCCTGGCAAAAAAGTATCTCTTGGTTCCAGCTACCAGTTCACCCTCTGAAAGAGTTTTCCGTTGATACCGTTGACAGGCTGGTGTTTCTCGCACAAAATCTTTGAACAAAGGAGGACACTCTTGTTAGTCTTCTAATGTCTACCTCAAGACAGTATTACTGTTTATCAAAGTAAAAAAATAGGGGGGAAATGTTTGAGTTCTTAAACTAAGCACTTTATTTTGTTCTTGCTGCCCCTACTATTGTTTTTCTTATATTATTTTGTAATGTTCATTGTTTGCATCTGTGGATTTGTTATAGTTATAGTTGTCAAATGTTCATATCAAATATATAAATAGGCACTATTTCTGAAAAATATTTTATAGCATTTTCTTTAAGATATTTTTTTATTTATATGTGCACCTTATGGAGCTTTGTTTTCAAAAAGAATACTCCTGTTATACACTTTGTTTACATATTATCATTTGAACGGCTGAGCATTTGTTTATTGTTTAATTTAATTTATTATTTATTCATTTTTATTTATTTGATTTTATTTGAAATTGCTGGTTTCAATTAAACGACTAATAACATGTCATATTTGGCTTTGACTTTGCTTTGACATTTGCGTTCAGGTTTTCTTCCCTTTAATGTGGAGAAGATATCGGGATATATACCGTATATCGATATCCAACCAAAATATACCGGGATATGACTTTTGGTCTATATCACCCAGCCCTACCATAAATACTGTAACATCCTGTTAACATGAAGTATGTGTTTCCTGTTTTATTTTTGTCCCTAACCTCTCCTGTCAGTTTCTGTCCTTGGTTCCTCCTGAATTCTCATTCACTACACCTGCGTTCAATCCCCTGCTGCTAGTTTCTCCCCCTGCCAAACCAACACAAATATACTCCCCTGCTTCCCCTGTTCTGGTGCCAGATTGTCTGTTTTCTACTCTGTATTTTCATCGTCTTGCAGCATTTTCTCACATGATAGTTCCTTGTGTTTATGAATTTGCTTTGTTGACGTTCTGGGACTCCCTGCCGACTTTGTTTGCCTTTTACTTATTGCCTTTGCGTGCCTGACTTCCTTGCACCGAGTGAAAAATCTTTTTTTTTGTTTCCTTTTGCAGAGCAAGGACGACCAGATCCAAGTAATTGGTAATCTGAAGAACATCTCCATGGCGTCCAGTAAACTGCTGTTGGCTGCCAAGTCTCTGTCCGTTGATCCAGGTGCAGCCAACGCTAAGAATCTTCTAGCTGTGGCAGCAAGGTGGGATCTGATGCAGATAACACCTGATACATATCCAACATTCTCTTTTCTCAGTGTTTGCTGGCGAACTGAGCCAGATTGAATCTATTATCAAGTTGTGAGCAATTCTGTATACTTACATTTCACATAAATCCTACCTGCTGTATCTGTACGTCTCTCCGAAGCTGTCTCTGTTTGGCAACGCTAGTTAAAGTATGCAGTGAGAAGCCAACAGCTGGTCCCGCAGGACTCAGGGCCTGACTGACTTCTCTCGGTCTAATTAGGAAGATGGAAGCGTCGGCTAGGGCCTGTCTGTGCTCGATAGAAGAGCTTGCATCATGTGTGAGTGAAGCCAGGCTGTGGCTGCATGAGGAGGACAAATGTGTGGCCTTGTGTGTTTCAGGGCCGTGGCAGAGAGTATTAACCAGCTGATCACGCTCTTTCCCCAGCAAGCAGCAGGACAAAAGGAGTGTGACAATGCCTTGAGAGAGTTGGAGGTAGCCGCCCTTGCGTACACCACATACACCAAGTGCCACACGCAGACTTTCCTTCTCTTCAGGCCGTTTTTTTTGTGGCCATGTTTTTAATCAGGGAAACTAGATGCATTTATCATCCTTTCTTTCCATCCACATCCTCACAAAGCCATTAACGTTGTGTTACCGGCACCAGACCTAGGGGTAATCTGGACCGGCAGCAAAGGTTATACAGGCTAGGAAGCACTGTGTAGCCTGTGGATTAATATGAAGAGGGGACACACGTTAGCGTCATGCTCAAGCCAGAGCTAGTTTTATTCTGAGCTGCGCATTAGCGGAGCCTGTAGCTACGTTCTCTCCAATGTCTCCACAGCGGCACCACAGCGCCTCTACTGACGTGATCGTGTAATATCTTAATATAACGTCTTAAAGAGTGCATTTATTAACAAGGAAAAAAAGGGGGGGGTAGTTGTTTTAATAACATCTAACATGTAGCATTTCCAACCTACAACAGTTACATGGACATTAAACTGTGGTAAGTGCATTAATGCAGTTGGTTCAACCTGAGCATTTGCATACTGAAAAATACAATCAGTTATACTCAAGAGACTGACTGTCAATAAGGCATTTTAAAAGCTTGATTATCGTCATTTCCTTTCTCTGACTGAAGCGGCTGATGAAAGTGTAATACCATAGCAGGGGTTTGTCCTGTCTACTGTAGTTTGGGTTCCTATCATCTCTGTCTGTGTACAGGCGGTCAGAGGTCTTCTAAATAATCCAAACGAGCCTGTCAACGAACTCTCCTACTTTGACTGTATCGAGAGCGTCATGGAGAATTCCAAGGTACAGGCTGTTAAAGTAATTGTGGAAACAATATACTTAAACTGTCAGATATCTTACGCGGCGGGCAGGATTTATTTGTACCGTTTTACTCTCCACATGCCTCAGGTTCTAGGAGAGTCAATGGCAGGTATTTCACAGCACTGTAAGACAGGCGACGTGCTGGCCTTCGGGGAGAGCGTGGCCGTGGCCTCCAAAGCTCTGTGTGGGCTCACGGAGGCTGGAGGACAGGTGAGAACTCCTCACTCTAAATTACCAGGCTTCTGCTTCTATTCGTGTGTTCATCCATTCGTGTGTTGACTGTCTGTGGAGGTGGTTAGCTTGTCCGTGTCAACAAGGGAAGTCAAGGAAGACAATAAAGAACCTGTCTTGTGACGATCATTGACCCTCTTCTTCTTTTCTGCCTTGTAGGCCTCTTATCTTGTAGGTGTGTCTGATCCCAATAGTCAGTTAGGCCACGAAGGGCTGGTGGATCCCATCCAGTTTGCAAAGGCACACCAGGCGATCCAGATGGCTTGTCAGAACTTAGTAGACCCTGCTAGTAGTCCCACACAGGTAAGAAGCTCCATGTGGGGCGTGAAAAACATTACAGGGCCTTTCCTTGCCATATGGCAGTAGACTAAAATCAATGTTTTCCTTCTTTTTGTCAGATCCTGTCTGCAGCGACGATTGTAGCCAAGCACACCTCAGCTCTCTGTAACGCCTGCCGCCTGGCTTCTTCTAAAACCTCCAACCCGGTGGCGCGGAGACAGTTTGTCCAGTCAGCCAAAGAGGTGGCCAACACTACGGCCAACCTTGTCAAAACCATCAAGGTCAACTCCCCAACTTATCAAAACGTTGAGTGTACATTTGTTTTCAGAATCTCTCCGTCACATCAAGGAGCTGCGCGTGTAACTCAGCCGGCCTACACAAATATAACTGGAACGGGCAAATATTCATACGGCGTTTCCTTGTTTCAGGCCTACGATGGGGATTTTTCTGATAACAACAGCAACAGATGCCGCGTTGCAACGGCCCCTCTCCTTGGGGCTGTAGAAAACCTGTCGACCTTTGCCAACAACCCGGAGTTTGCAAGCATCCCAGCTCAAATCAGCAATGAGGTATTCATCCATTCTGATGTTTGTTTGTAACGTTTGCAACTTTTTTTCTGCATTCACTCCACAGTCCCTCCTTATTTGATACGAAAATTGAAAAGAAATGAAAGGCAATCTTTCAGCAGTTGTTCAGAAACATCGTACCGAGAATCTTGATGGTTCTCTTGGAGAGGTTTCCTGAGTATGTTTGTGACTTTTTGCACTCATTCCTATTTCAACTGATGCTTTTATATGAGCCAACACAGAAAAGTTTTTGCAGCGAACACGGGGGGAATTGGATTGATGTCCAATTGTACCTTTTCTTTTAATATCAAGTAAAGAGTTGAAAGATGGATTTTCTTTCTTTCTTTTTCAATCAGTTGTAGCCCAGTCGTCTAAAAGCTTTAAGGCTGTAATCCGTTGGAGGGCAGTGTTTAACGGCGCTCAGCACAGCCGCTCTAATCTTCAGCTTTTTCATCTAATTGTCGAGCGAGGCTTTGGCTTGGATCATAAAGACGGAAGGTGTTTCTCCCTGCATCTGTGTGAAACTGTCTTTCTAATCACATGAATGTGTCTGGCTATTTGCTAATGAGCTGCGACCTGGGATGTTGTTTCACTTGCCCTAATCTTTTCATTTCCACAGGGCTCAGCTGCTCAGGAGCCGATTGTGCGTTCAGCTCGCTCGATGCTCGACAGCTCCACTTACCTTTTAGAAACAGCCCGCTCGCTCGTCCTAAATCCAAAAGATCCTCCCACATGGTCCATCCTGGCCGGACAATCCAGAACAGTCTCTGACTCCATTAAGAGTCTTATCACCTCCATCAGGTTGGTATTAATTCCACCTACTCCCACATCGGTTCCTGCAGGATTATCCTGACTCAGTGTCCATAATGGTTCGCTCACAATTACAGAGAGCTCATTCTCAGCTCAGCTGAGCAATAAATTGCCAGTTGTTAATATTTGAGATTCCCTGCTGTAATAGATAAGAGAATTGCAGTGGTGAGATGATGAGCCACAGTGGATCTGCAACACATTTTAGCAAAAGTAGTTCCTGAACCACTTCTATCTTTATCATCATCATCATCATCATCATCATCATCCTCCAGATCAGATACATATGTGGCTGCCTGGTGACCTCATGATGATGATCCCTGTATAACCACAATTTACATTTAAGTAAACAAACAAGGTAACAAGGTTACGCAGTGAGCAGTGAGCGGTTACGCAGTGAGCAGTGAGCGGTCCCTCTGCTTTCAGCCTGTATGCTGAGCTAAGCTAATTGCCTGCTGCAGATATGATGGTGGTTTTCAACTTTTGGGTCAAAAGTGGGAAAGAAGTAATTTTTCATATTTGTCTTAAATAAATGTGGCTTTTTGTTATTTATACTGTCCAATGTGTATTTATAGTACAATAATGTATTTTTCAATATTTCTGTTTATAGGGACAAGGCACCCGGACAGAGGGAGTGTGACTACTCCATTGATAACATCAATAAGTGCATCCGGGACATTGAGCAAGCTTCCCTAGCTGCAGTTGGGCAGACATTGCCCTGCAGAGATGATATCTCTATAGAAGTGAGTTCAAGTACCCCATCAGCTCTATCATGTTCGAGAGAACGAACATAATGGGATTGCTCGTCTCTCTGTTTGTAACTTATACCGTAATTCTCTGCCGCCGTAACTCATCAGGCACTCCAGGAGCAGCTAACGTCTTCTGTGCAGGAGATTGGGCATCTGATTGATCCCGTCTCCACAGCCGCCAGAGGCGAAGCTGCCCAAATCGGACACAAGGTGCTGGTGTGACCGCATATACCTTCATCCCCTTTGGATTTAGGAAAGAAAAACTCTTAACTTGTAATTCATTAAACAATCTCTCTTCATCGCTCTACATCACTCGTTCTGGCAGGTGAGCCAGCTGGCAAGGTACTTTGATCCACTCATCGTGGCATCGGTGGGCCTGGCCTCTAAGCTGCACAACCACCAGCAGCAGATGACCATCTTAGACCAGAGCAAGACCCTGTCTGAGTCTGCCCTGCAGATGCTCTATGCTGCCAAGGAAGGCGGGGGGAACCCTAAGGTACTGAGCAGTTCTTAAAGCTGCAGGTTGTTTAATCTACCATGGCTACTATTTCAAGAGGATACTATACTACATTTCAGCAGGTCAAGACAGTGATGCCGTTCTGTTGTTCCGGGTCTGTACCCTGTTGGTTGAATGCACTTATTGCACGTCGCTTTGAAATTTTCAAATGTAAATGTATTGTGTAATGTCATATTTTCCCGAGTTTATCTTTTTTTAAGAGGATCATGAAAAATGCCTTCCTCGAGTATTACCAGGGTATAGCGCAGACCTTGGCATCTTACGGCCCGCGGGCCACATCCGGTCCTTTGTGCGTCCCTGTCCGGCCCGCGTGAGGCCAATCATAAATTACAAAATAAATTTAAAAAATATCTATATCGAGTGTGCAATACAACGGTGCTGCTGAAAAGCGTTATTTATATTACTTCCGTGTGGATGTATGCGCGTGCATGATTGTGAGTGAAGGTAAACTGCAGCAATCACAAATTACAAAATACATTTTAAACTAGAAAATGCATTTCTTGCTGAAAATGCATTGGAATGCAAAAAGCTGAAAGCTGAACTGAATTTTTTTTAAAAGCTGAAAATACAGAAAGTTGAAGGGAATTTGAATACATTTGCTGAAATTAGATATAAGAAAAGCTGAAATTAATTTCAAATAGCTGAAAATACAGAAATGGGAGAAGCTGCAAGGAATTTCAATAGACTTGCTGATAAACAAGAAAAAAAAACCCAGCTGAAATAAATGTGAAATATTGCAAAGAAATACAGAAATTAATATTAAAACATTGCTGTTAATACAGGCATAAGAAAAGCTGAAATTATTTTAAAGAACTGCTGAAAATAAGTGGGGAAGCTACATTTCAATAGAATTTCAAAAAAATTCATAAGTTGCAGGAGCTTAAATGAATTTAAAAAAATACAGAAATAACAAAAGCTGAGATGAATAAAAAGAGGTTTTAAATTGTTTGTAGTAATATTAGTAGTAGTATTAGTTATAGTTGTAATCGTGGTATTAGTAGTACTAGCACTAGCAGTCGGTTTAGTTTGATACTAATGATAGCAGTAGAAACAGCTGTAATACTAATACTATTAGCCATAGTAGTATTTGTAATAACATTAGTAGAAGTTGTAGTATTAATAGCAGTAGAAATACTAGTAGTATGGTAGTAGAAGTATCAGTTGTAGTACAAGAAGTACTAGTAATATTCAAAGTGGTTGTAGTAGTATTTGAAAGAGCAATACGTATTTCAATGAAACCGCTTCATGGTTAAGGTACAGATAATCATTGAGGCTTTTATTTTGAAATGATGGAATTGGGTGAGGGGGCGTTGGGAGACATAATGTTTGTTATTCAAACTAAGAGGTTTTCAAATAATAGCCCTCATCACAAACATTAAACTAAAAATTCCCTCCATGGGGCTTTTATTTTGAAATAATTGGATTGGGTGGGGTGGGGGGTGTAGATAAAGGGAGGAAGGGAGGGGTGGTGAGGAAGAGATAGGGAGGGAGAGGGGAGGAGAATTAGACAGACAGACTGAGTGAGTGATTAACAGTGAGAATAGGTCAGGGTGGAGGAGGGGTAGGAGGGGGGGGGCGAGTGTCTTTATCATGTTGGTCTGTTGACAGAAAGCTTTCTACCTCTTAAGCTTGAATTTATATAATTCAATAATCATGAATATTTTAACATGGTTTTCCAATGGAGACCGTTTTTCAAATCTTCTTAAACTTCTTAATCTTTCAGATTTTTCAGCTCCGCCAATCTTTCAGCTACAGACACCATTTCAACTTTCAAATCTTGACACAAGTCTCAAGTATTTTATGAAAAAACTGCTTGTTGATGTCTATTGTACTTTTTTCATAATCACTGATTATGTTTCACTAGTTCTTCGCTCCGTTTCTGACTTTTACATGAGTGTGTATTGCGTCTGCTAGAGTGAGACGTCGAGGGCTAGAGTGTGGGGCAGCGTCAGAATCTGCTCGGCTTTATTTCTTTGGGTTAATGATGGCATGGTTGTGCTGATTGGATTAATGTGTTCATGGAATCCCAGACTTCTTTAGTTTTGGATTCCTGAGTGTTAGAGTGACACAACCTCTGCCAGCGTGAGAGAGGAGCTCGGTGTGTCCTAAGAAGTCCCCCGGCAGTCTAAGCCTATAGCAGCTTAACTAAGGGCTGGTCCGGGCTAACCCGACATATTTCTCAAAAAATCCAGAAGGTACACATTTTGTAAACTGCGACAGGAGCCGTATTTTTTTACCGGACAGACATAAAAAATGCATCCATGCGTTCGGTAGAGTCTTGGGTATTGCGTATTTTTTAGATAGCTGTTATAGTTTTGCGCTGGTGGTCATTTGTTTGAGGTGTGGATTCTGTGTAACTCGCTGTCCTGTTTCTGCCCTTTGCAGCAGCTCGTTAATGAGCCCAGGTGCGCCGTTGCCGTGGTTACTCGCACACACATGCTGCAGTATCTCTGTCTGTGACTCACAGCTGCTCCTATGACCTGATTAGTGGAGTCACATGACACAGCTATGCTTTCTGTCAACAGACCATGATCATAAAGACACTCGCCCCCCCCTCCTCCACCATGACCTCTTCTCACTGTTAATCACTCAGTCAGTCTGTCTATTTCACTGCATGAAAAGTGAGATTTTCGTCCCCGTAAACGCCCGTAAATCTCCCTAATTTCCGACAATTTCCGACAATTTGCAACCCGCGCACGTCGCGTTTGTCTGTGCCACAAATTGTCGGAAACGAACCATGACGTAGGTGGAGAGCTGGCGGAGGTGCGAATGGCCCTAATTAGCATATGAATGCAGCGAAACCGCGGGTGGCCGAGCCGAGTGGGCTTGAATATCCTTACTCCTTATTGGATGAAACCACAACTTACTAACAAATAAAATGACTCGTGATTGGCAGCAAAACCACACCTGGGCAGACCAGGCTTGAGTTTCCTTGATCATGATTGGATGAAACCACAACTTTCAACCACTCGTGATTGGTTGGCAGATCTGTCGCTATTGGTCACCCGCCTCATTTTATTTATATATATTTATATATTCATATTATGCTGTATATTCATTTCATGGTTATCATATGTAGGCTACTACACTATTGTTAGGATACCAACCAGGACATCAATGAATTTATAGAGAAAATGAACATTTGCCACATGTTTATGCAAAGAAAGAGCTTTATCAACAACACACAAACAACAACTACATCCGTTTGCCTCCTCGGGTTTGTTGACCGTCACTGGCGCCGTGTTTTCCGAGGCAGGCCTGTTGTGCAGGCGCCTCGTGTGTGTGTGGCGACCGTACAATCCACCCCGAGACCCTGCCAACAACGCCGTCCCCTCCGTCCGACGTGAGCTCTACGGTGGCGGAGTTCCACCTCGTCATCAGCCAGCACACTTTGTCTCGATTCCAGCAGCTGTAAAAACAACAATGAATCAGTACTGTGGGATGCGTATGGACACAGCACATCGATCAATGCACCTGAAAAAAGTCAGCAAATAAACTCTGACCCTCTTTCTTCTCGCTCGACTCCGCGCTGAATCATTCGCAGCTTCCGCCCGCAATGAGTGTTCCGCCTGAACCTGAAGCTCCTGCGTCCCGTCTCAAAATACGTCTCACAGGCGGCTGGAAAACAATTAAATGAGTGTGGTATGAATACAAAAATCAAACGCAAGTCACAGTAACATTTAACAAGGAAGGAGAAACAGTAAACAGTGTCACTTACACACAATGACGTCGTCTAAATCTGGACTTTTCCCGGAGCAAATACGAGTCACCGCCTCATTATGAGGCGAGATTAGTCTGTGAAAACAAAATGTATAGTTATGATCGGTATCTATACATATATATTCCCTTATACCGCAGAATGAAAGCATATTCTGTAAATCTGACCCTTGCTCCGGTTCGTAGCGCCTGTAGTTCGTCTCGGCGTTGTGAAGACGGCGCACTGCTTCCTGTAAACGACACGGCAAAGAAAATACACTTTAATAAAGCTGTTTCTGCTCACTTGTAAGGCTACTAGGCTACTCTTAGCTTAGCTTGAGGCTACGCTACTTTTAGCTTAGCTTGCAGTCATTGAACGTATTCTTACCGCTATCTTGGGATTGTGCGCCCGTCTCCTCTTCTTTGAGTCGGTTCCTCTCCTCCATGGACAGAAACCCGCAGAGTCCCGAACGCTCCAGTGAAGCGAACCGCTCGTTGATATCGGCAGTTTGTTGTTGGAGTTGACGAGACGATCCACTGAGAGCATTCAGCAGCTTCTTCTCGTCTGTCTGCGGACTGGCCGAAAGTTGGTGACCGCGGAGAGGAGTTGAAGGCGAGTTGAACGCGAGACGTCGTCCAGCCATTAGTCACGAAGCAGCAAAAACCAAACAAAGGAACTGGAGATACAGTTCTTCTGAATATAGTGACACACTGTCTGTTTGTGTGCTCGTCTTGCAAGTACTGCTGTATCAGTCATGCCTATGACCTCACACGTGATTGGACGAGGAGTCTAAGGGTCCTCCAATCACATACGAGGTTATTGTTATACGGAAGGACCAGTATTTTAGGAAGACAAATGGTTGGGACTTTGAAACAGCTGATATGCTTTATGAAAAGCAGTGTTTTGGTGTCAGCGACTGTAACGACTTTCCCTAGAAAACTGCACAGTGGTGCCTCTTTCTCCATTCCACCAGACAATCTTGAGTCTGACAGACATGCAATGTTGACAATGTATCATCAGATGTACCCTTGTGTTACTGAGGTTGAATATTTTGCCATGACATGTAAACAGGTAACATATATGAATGTAACTTACTCAATCGATAGATGCAGAGCATAAAGGTCAGCATATGTTCATGCTAAGTGGTGTGGAAACACTAAAAGTTTTGAGGAACCCGTCCTTGACCCTCTAGCAGAACTACGACCAGCCATTATAAAGCAGTTTATAGTTGTTAATGTGTCAAAGGGTACAGCATTTAAACATGTTCTTGCACAAGTTTCCTGGCTTCATATCCACCCGGACAGACATTTTTATGGAAAGCCAATAGAAGTTTGGGGCTTGCCGCAAACCTGAAATTCCACGACAATTTACAGTGCCGCATACTGCCGAAAATCCCACTTTTCATGCAGTGTTTCTCCTCCTCTCTCTCTCTCTCCCTCTATCTCTTCCTCACCACCCCTCCCTTCCTCCTCCCCCCCCCCCCCCCCCCCCTCTGTCTAAACCCCCCCACCCCACCCAATCCAATAATTTTAAAATAAAAGCCCCATGGAGGGAGTTTTTTGTGTAATGTTGTGATGAGGCCTAAAAACTTCTTAGTTTAAATAAGAAACATTCTGTCTCCCAACCCCCCCTCACCCAATTCCATCATTACAAAATAAAAGCCTCAATGATTATCTGTACCTTAACCATGAAGCTCAGAATGAAGCGGTTTTGTTGAAATACGTATTGCTCTTTCAAATACTACTACAACCACTACGAATATTACTAGTACTTCTACTAGTACTACTACAACTGATACTTCTACCATACTACTAGTATTTCTACTGCTATTAATACTACAACTACTACTAATGTTATTACAAATACTACTATGGCTAATAGTATTAGTATTACAGCTGTTTCTACTGCTATCATTAGTATCAAACTAAACCGACTGCTAGTGCTAGTACTACTAATACCACGATTACAACTATAACTAATACTACTACTAATATTACTACAAACAATTTAAAACCTCTTTTAATTCATCTTTGGTTGTTATTTCTGTATTTTTTTAATTCATTGAAGCTCCTGCAACTTCTGTATTTTTTAGAAATTCTATTGAAATTTAGCTTCACTTCTTCATTTCTGTATTTTCAGCAGTTCTTTAAATTAATTTCAGCTTTTCTTATGCCTTTATTAACAGCAATGTTTTAATATTCATTTCTGTATTTTTTTTGCAATTTCTCAAATTTGTTTCAGCTGTTTTCAGCAAATCTATTGAAATTCATTTCGGCTTCTCCCATTTCTGTATTTTCAGCAATTTCAAATTTATTTCAGCTTTTCTAATATCTGTAATTTAAGCAAATGTATTAAAATTTCCTTCAACTTTCTGTATTTTCAGCAATTTTCTGAAGTTCATTTCAGCTTTTTGCATTCCAACGCATTTTCAGCAGGAAATGCATTTTCTAGTTTTGAAAAGTGTTATTTATGGACCTATGGCCGCGTAAACTGTAAGTGAAGTTGCACAGCGACAAGTGATGCCCGGTTACCCCCGAGATGTCCGCTCACGCTAAAAAAAGAAAAGTTGATGACGAATGCCGTGTTTTCAACAAGACATGGACTGCCAAGTATTTCTTTACAGAAATTAAAGGTAAAGCCGTGTGCTTAATATGTGGTACACAGGTTGCTGCGTTTAAAGATTATAATTTGAATTGCCCTACACGACGAAGCACGAGGATAAATACCGGAATCTGTCTGATGAAGAACACGCAAGGGAGGCTGCTGCGTTGATGTTAAAACTGCAAACCCAACAAGGACTTTTTACCAAACTTCACACCCCCAGAGATGCAGCCGTCAGGACAAGTTTCGTAATTTCTCACAAAATCGCCAGAAAAAGTAAGGCGTTTTCTGACGGAGAGTTTATTAAGGAGTGCTTATTGGACTCTGTTGCGCTGATATGCCCGGAGAAGAAGGGTGCATTTGAGAACGTGTCACTCTCCTGACTCACTGTAACGAGGCGGGTTGAAGCCATCGCTGGAGACTTGGAGCTTCAGCTGAAGAACAGAGCGGCCGACTTTGACTGTTTTCTCTGGCTTTGGATGAGAGCTGCGTTGTACGTGACACCGCCCAGCTGCTTATCTTCTTACGTGGGATAACTGCAGACTTTCAAATCACGGAAGAGCTGGCAGCCGTGCAGTCAATTAAAGGGACAACCACAGGTGTAATATTCGTGTGCGTGCACTGACATTTAATTGTCTAAGTACGACACGTACCAGTGAGTTTCTTTTAGTCGGCGCTGTATGCGTCCATCTTTATTTGCGCATATTTACTTCTGCGCATAAACACGCACCTTGATGACCTCATCACACCATGACAGACATTTGAACCAGAAGTATCCAAGATACTACAGAATGGCTTTCCGCCGGTAATTAGCAATGGATATCAGGCGATATTTGAAGAGACCATCAAGTGCTCCCACTCCCACAGATGCCCGTAAAAGGCCTCGAGTACAAAGTAAGACTGAAGAAGATCAATTCACGTTTTTAAACGTTGTTTTGGTTCGCACAACATCGCATTAAGACAGGGACAAACGCTATTAATAACGTGCTTTTACATACAATGATGCAGGTAACGAGCCAGCCTTCCCTGTCCCATCTAAATAGGCCTAATAAAATTAGTAATTATCCTCACGCATATTGCTGCAGATTAGGCTAATTCATTGAAAAATTGTCAACAGATTATGTGCAAGCCAGTTAGACATAGCTAAGAGAAATGTTTTAGTTTAGCTATAGAATCTTCAAATTTCGCGATCAAAGTCAAATATATTAGTTTTTTACTTTCATCATGTCCGGCTCTCATAGAAAACGTGAGCGGGGAGCAAAGCTGTTGCTTCACTGAATAGGCCTATATGCTTAATCAATTATTTTAAGTCTATGTAAACATAGATTATTTGAAAACAAGTCAGTTCTCAATGTGAAAAAACATGCTGTATAGGCTATTTATGATGACATAGGTAGTACATGAGTGTTCCTTTAACTTATGTTGTCAGTGTAATTGACAGGCTGCTTAACTGGTGTTCTCAGAAATCATGACAGTGGAGAACCAAAGAGTGGAGAAGAGGAAAGGGGAGGAAATGAAAGAAGACCAACAGAATGAAGAAACAGAGAAAGGGGAGACAGAGAAAGATGAAATAGAGGGAGGAGATGAAGAAACAAGTAGTAAGAGAGGAGTAAGAGAAGAAACGGAGGCAGGAGAGATGGAGAGTGGAGAATCTGAAGTAGAGGGAGAGGAAGAAGAATCTGAGACTGAAGACACAGTGAGAGGAGAAATAGAGAGAAGATGCCACCCACATATCTGGACAGAAAATATAATGCAATATAGCCAGGACAGCCTTACAGAGTTGCGACGCTTTGTGTCGCGTTGCATCGCATCGCGATGAGGTCTGTATGATCACCAAATTCAGAGTTTACCCACCTCTAATTTTACCACTACAGCACCGGTCAGGACTGAAATGGGACAAGCTGGCAGGTGTGACAACAGATGGTTGTCCAAATCTGACGGGGAAAAATGTTGGACTTTTAAAGAGGATGCAGGATAAAGTGACAGAAATTAACCCTGTGCAGAAATTGACATTTATACATCAGGAAGTGTTGTGTTAAAAATTAACCATGTTGTTGATGCTATAACTAAAACAGTTAACTTTATCAGAGCGAGAGCGTCAAATCATAGACAATTTGTTGCACTTTTGGAGGAAAATGAGAGTGAACATGGTGACATAAGCTACCACGTCAGGTGGCTCAGCCTTGGCAAAGTACTGAGAAGTGCCTGGGACCTGAGAGACCAGATTCAGAATTTCTGTGGGAAGAAAGGACATGTCATCCCAGAACTTTCAGATGAAGACTGGGTGGCAGACCTCGGATTCGCTGTGGATGTGCACTCATGAACGAACTGAATGTCAAACTGCAGTGCAAGGGCCTTTTTGTGCATGAGATGTACAGTGCAGTGACGGCTTTCATGAGAAAGTTGCAGCTTCTCTCAAGCCAAGTGAAGGACAACATTCTGACCCACTTGCCAACACTAAAGGAAGCTACAAGATCAGCCGATCACCTCCACAAGTACTCAAGCAAGTTTGAAGCACTCCATGGAGAGTTTTCAAGGCGATTTCAAGATTTCAAAACTCTTGAGAGTGAAATGCACATGGTTTCTTCTCCCTTCAACTGCAGTGTGGACAATGCACCAAGCGATGTTCAGATGGAGCTCATTGACCTGCAGTCTGACCTACTTCTGGCAGAGCACCTCAGTCTCGCTGCTGGACTTTTACTCCTCCTTCAAAGAGGAGAACTTTCCACACCTGAGGAGGCATGCTCAGAGGATTCTGGACCTCTTTGGATCCACCTATGTATGTGAACAGACATTTTCAGTGATGAAGTTCAACATATCCAAACAGATCCTCTATCACTGATGAGTACCTCTCAGCTGTCCTTCGCATAGCCACCTCAGACATTCAGCCAGATTTCAATGCCCTTGTTCAAGCCCAGAACAGACTGGATTATTCGCGCTGAAGAGGTAAAATGAGGTGGAAAACATAACAGGTTATTGTTTGTTGTATTGCAGTATTTCTATAAACGTGTTAAGTTGTTTGTGGTTTTTCCTTTTTTGTGGAACAAAGTTAAAGTGTGAACAAGATAAAAAATAAATTGCAGCGATTCAATGATTGTTTTTGTTTTCTTATTTCAATTTCACATAGCCTAATATAAATATTTAAGGATTAAGAGTTTAAATAAAACCATCAAAAGCAATCTGCTTTTCTATAAAGTTAAGTTAGGGTAAATGAAATTATTATTATTATTTATCTTAGGGCATAAGGCATATCAAAAATAATATTGAGCAAAATTTAATTGAAATATTGTCGATGTGGCCCTCCAGCAGTGCTCGGGTTGCTCATGAGGCCCCCGGTAAAAATTAATTGCCCACCCCTGGTATAGCGGGATAACTTTATTACATTTTGGACTTGGAGTAGTACAAGTCTTTATAGCCGCAGTAGTCCAGCCAGGTGAAGTGTCCTCTAGTGAAACACTGCCTACTTACCAGCTGTAGGGACAATCTGTAGCTGAGAAAGTGTCACAGAAACGTCAATTAGCTGACTGTGTCCCCAGGCGTCCCATACCCACGATGCCATCTCCGAAGCGGCCCAGCTGATGAAGGAGGCCGTGGACGACATCATGGTGACAATGAACGAAGCAGCCAGCGAAGGGGGCATGGTCGGCGGTATGGTGGAGTCCATTGCTGAGGCCATGGGCAGGGTGAGTAAGGTTGTGTTGGTCTCATGTTTGTGTCATAATATCTCATGTTCGCTCAGGTGGTTTTAAAGGGATTGCAGGTTCACACTTATTTCCCATCTTATTTGTTTGAAGGCAAAATGAGCCTTCGGTGAAAGAGTAAAAGCATAGTAAGCCAGATAACCACTGGTGAGGTTATCTGTCGTCCACCCTGACGGGGGACATGTCACCGTGTTGACAGTAATGTTAATAATTGATGATGAACAGCTCACACTCGCACTTGGCTCAAATCTTATGCTTCATTTTTCTTCTCCATTTATTTTACCCTCAGCTTAAACATAACAGAGAAACCATCATTATAACCCCATTAGCATATATAAATAGGAAGCATTTTAAAAGAATGCCAACATTAAAAAGATTTACATGTTCTCACTAATGTTTTTAGTAAAGCAAATACAATAAATATAAACTTTACGATAGCTAATATTGGAGTATATATTGGCCCCTTTATGTTAGCTATGTACAATAGTTGGTTAAGTACTGAAAGGCTGCTCTTCACAGCTGGAGGAAGGAACACCACCTGAACCTGAGGGCACCTTCGTAGACTACCAAACCACCATGGTGAAGTTCTCCAAAGCCATTGCTATCACTGCGCAAGAGATGGTAAGATATTCAAACCTGACTTTCTGATTTTTAGAGTGGCAATAGTTGTCAGCAGGGCCACATAAACATCAATCTGCCCCTGCTGATGATGTATTTTCTCTGTTGCCAGATGACTAAGTCAGTAACCTGTCCTGAAGAGCTTGGCGGCCTTGCCTCACAGGTCACAGTAGATTATGGTCAGCTAGCACACCAAGGACGCCTTGCTGCAGCCACTGCAGAGTCAGAGGAGGTGAGAAGACATGCTCTCTGTCCTATGGAGTGCATGAGGGAAAAAACATACTTAATACTTAAACAAAACCCATTCATTTTTTTGAAATTCTGCACCTGAAACATCAGTTTACTGCAAATGTTCATTTTTAAACAAAAACTGTTTTTCATATGTATTCACTCATACATTGATCAAAGCAGATGGGTCCTGTGTGCACGCATTGCTCTAAACACCCATATAGTATTTTCTGTGGATTCCGGGATTAAAAAATGTGTGGAAGCATTTTACTAATACGCACGCAGACCTTACCAATACATTGTGCAAAACAGGCTGCTATAAAAACCCTGCTGGTTACCATAGCAACATTATGGCTCCACAAGTCTAAAAGCCTATACTGTAGTGACGCTCATAATGAAGCACCACCCGACCATGAATCTCAGTCTGTAAATGAAAGGTTTAGTGATAGAATTCCCTCTCTGAAAGGGCTGAAAATCATTTTCATCCACCCACTTGATACGAGACACGCTAGTTTAGGACATTGCGTACACTGACGCAAATAAAAAGACGGATGCGGTGTAAGTCAATACCAGGGTATTCTTGTTAGGTCGGCTACCAGATCAAGACACGGGTGCAGGAACTGGGCCATGGCTGTAACTACATTGTCCAGAAGGCTGGAGCTCTGCAGCTCAGCCCCACCGACAGCTTCTCCAAGAGGGAGCTCATCGAGTGTGCACGTGCAGTCACGGAGAAGGTGAGCTGTGTGGACTGAAACTGATACCGTATCTGCAACTGATCATAAGGAAGCTTGATATACATAGGCGGCACGGTGGTGTGGTGGTTAGCACTGTTGCCTCACAGCAAGAAGGTCCTGGATTCGACTCCGCCCAGTGGCCTTTCTGTGTGGAGTCTGCATGTTCTCCCCGTGTCTGCGTGGGTTCTCTCCGGGTTCTCTGGCTTCCTCTCACAGTCTACTAGAGCCCAGAGCTAAGACATGCTCTGGGGATCAGGTTAATTGGAGACTCTAAATTGCCCGTAGGTGTATGAATGTGAGTGTGAAGGGTTGTATGTCTTTGTGTTAGTCCTGCGATTGGCTGGCGACCAGTCCAGGATGTACCCTGTCTATCGCCCGAAGTTGGCTGGGATAGACTCCAGCCCCCCCGTGACCCTGCGTGCAGGATAAGCACACAGATAATGTATTTGTAATAACATTAGTAGTAGTTGTAGTGTTAATAGCATTAGAAATACTAGTAGTATGCTAGTAGAAGTATCAGTTGTAGTACTAGAAGTACTAGAAATATTCGTAGTGGTTGTGGTAGTATTTGAAAGACGTATTTCAACGAAACCGCTTCATTCTGAGCTTCATGGTTAAGGTACATGACCCATTATTTTGTAATGATGGAATTGGGTGAGGGGGGGTTGGGAGACTGAATGTTTGTTATTCAAACTAAGAGGTTTTCAATTAATAGGCCTCGTCACAAACATTACAGTAAGAATTTCCTCCATGGGGCTTTTATTTTGATATTATTGGATTGGGTGGGGTGGGGGGGTGTAGATAGAGAGAGGGAGGGTGAGAGGGTGAGGAAGGGAGGGGTGGTGAGGAAGAGATAGAGAGGGAGAGAAAGAGGAGAATTAGACAATTAGAACAGACAGTCAGTCGACTGACTGAGTGATTAACAGTGAGAAGAGGTCATGGTGGAGGGGGGGTGGGGGCTCGTGTCTTTATCATGTTAGTTTGTTGACAGAAAGCATAGCTGCGTCATGTGACTCCACTAATCAGGTCATAGGAGCAGCTGTGAGTCACAGACAGAGATACATGTGTGTGCGAGTAACCAAGGCAACGGCGCACCTGGGCTCATTAACGAGCTGCTGCAAAGGGCAGACACAGGACAGCGAGTTACACAGAATCCACACCTCAAACAAATCACCACCAGCGCAAAACTATAACAGCTATCTAAAAAATAAGACACTTGTGAGAGACCCAAGACTCTACCGAGCGCATGGATGTGTTTTTATGTCTGTCCGGTAATAAATATGGCTCCTATCGCAGTTGACAAAACGTGTACCTTCTGGATTTTTGTGAGAAATATGTCGGCAGATTTGTATTGGAGCCTATGGGGCTTTTGGCAGAGGTTGTGTCACTCTAACACTCCTTAAGCCATAACTAAAGAACTCTGGGATTCCATGAACACATTAATCCAATCAGCACAACCATGCCCTCGTTAATCTGAAGAAATGAAGCCTCTAGAGGGTATACTTTGGCTGCAAGGACAGAAGTTCCATATTTTTTTAACCAGATTCTGATGCTGCCCGACACTCTAAGATCTCCGGGTCTCACTCTAGCAGACGCAATACACACTCATGTAAAACTCAGAAACGGAGCAAAGAACTAGTGAAACATAATTAGTGCTTATGAAAAAAGTAGAATAGATATCAACAAGCAGTTTTCATAAAATAGTTGAGACTTGCGTCAACATTTGAAAGTTTAAATGGTGTCTGTAGCTGAAAGATTGGTGAAGCTGAAGAATCTGAAAGTTGAAGAAGTACAAGAGGATTTGAAAAACAGTCTCCATTGGAAAACCATGTTAAAATATTAATGATTATTGATTTATATGAATTCAAGCTTAAGAGCTAGAAATCTGAAAAGCCATAGCCCCCTCTCCTGAAAGAGCTGAATATTTTAATATTTGAATGGTTTTAATAGCTGAAAGTGTGAAGGAGTTGAAAGATGCGGCGGAAGAAATAGAATAATAAGATGTTGGAATAAAGATTCGAAGAACAGTAGTTGGAATGCTTAATGCATTCATTAACAATTATACATATATTTTTTCTAATAGTAAACATAGAGGCCTGTGTTCACTGTAAGATTTAAGAATAAGCTGTTTAGCGCTGGATAACTGATTAGTATGCTGTAGATGAGAGGTAAGCTTTTTATTCTAATTTGTATTCATTATTTGTTGTTAGTTTTAGCTTTAGCCATAATGCTGTAGCAGTAAGGCGTATAGAGTTGGAAGAATATAGGTTTAATGTTAATGTTATCTTAGGCAGTAACTGGTGCGTTATTATATGGTAGCAGTCATGCGGGTCATGATAGCACGGCCTCCTGATTACCCTCGCGCTGTGCAGCTAATGACATTACTCATATCTTCCTACTATGACCCAGGGAGAAAATAAGCACGCCGCTCACACATTCAAAGTCCTTTCCACTTTGAGTCTGTGATTGATTCAGGATTCATACTGAAGGAACTGTAGGCAGACAGAGTCTCGGTCAGAAGACCCGAACGGCAAGGAGTGGAGTGAGAAAATGATGCAAGGCAGGTTGGATGTAACACCAGTAGTTAATTTCCTTTTTTGGAGCTTGATATTTATTCTGTGTGCTGCATCAAAAACATAGACAAAGAAACAATACAATTCAATTAAATAACGGAGTGGTCAATCAAACAACAAACAATCCTACATGGCTCCTGGCACATGTCTGAGAACAAAGGAATTGGTCAACATAGCACATGTCACAAAAAGGCATCACAAAGGCATACAAATAAAACAATCAAAAGGATAAATTGAATTGACCACTCACGTTAACTTGAATACGCACACTTCAGGATACGGCACTGGAGTGGCAGGGAGTGGAAAAAGGTGAACTGCCAGGGGAGCAGACTATTTATAGTCTCCGCCCCCTTATCCAGCAAGTTTGATTGATTGATTGAGTCCAGCAGATTCACCAGTCATTCATAAAGAAATTAACAGAAAAAAAGCCCAGGTTCCAGGGAGTCTTTTCACAGCCGCCCCGGAATTGGGATCAATTCCTCCTGGAAGGAAGACTCACTCTTCTGCCAACTCCGGAAGCACCATCAGACGAGACACGGGTCTGGTATAAGTTTGAGGGCCGACTTGGACGTCAACTGACCGTACGCGTCCATCTCTACCGGCCGTGACAGCTGTAACTCGACCTGTTGGCCAGGAGGCCCGAGGCAGTTGTGGGTCAAGGATCAAAACAGTCTTCCCTACTTCCAGATTCTGGGCTTCCCTCAGCCACTTTCCTCTGGGTTGTAGGTTAGGCAAATAGTCACGAATGAACCGTGTCCAGAAATGGTCGGCCAACATCTGGCTATGACGCCACTTCCTTCGCCCAAGGAGCTTGCTGTTGGCAAAGCTGGCTTGTGGCAGGTAGGCGTCCCGCCGCCCCATCAGGAGCAAATTGGGAGTGACAGGATCAGGATCACTGGCAGCAGATGAAAGATAGCCTAAAGGTTTTGAATTCATAATGCCTTCTACCTCAATTAGGACAGTGTGAAGGATAGCTTCACAAGTGGTCTGATTCCCGAGAATCACTCTTAGGGCGTTCTTGACGGATCTGATTTCGCGCTCCCTCGTCATATTGCTTAATGATGAGCTGCGTAGTGGGATGCTTTGGGTCCAGAATGATTGGGTGGATGATGTCTGGGTCCAGGTCCGGGGATCTACGAAGTCTTCCTCCCACCCTCATCAGCCCAACATCTGGATCCAGTTCAGGAGATAGTTGGAGTAGACGACTTTGCCTAGAGAGAGGCTTTCCTTTACGGAGAGCGTCAAGTTCTTCAGGGAAGCAGGACTCCTGGGCTTGTTGCAAAAGATTTCCGTTGCTGCACCTTTGGCCACTTTATCGGATTGGGTCAATGTTTGTTCAGTGGCAGTGATGAGATCACTCCAGCTTTGATGCTGAGAGGCATTCGGCCATGTACTGGTGGCAGCAGAAACATTCAGGCACATAGAAGCTTTCCTTAATTCAGTGCTGTTTGCGAGTGATGAGGTGTGGAAGACACCCGGAGCAACAGGCCAGCAAGTCTCAGGGTGTTGAAGGAAGGAAGGTCCATCCGTCCAGCAGTTAGGTTGAGCTAGGTCACCCAGTGTCTTGCCTCGGGTCAGGGCATCAGCTGGGTTGTTTGGACTGTCCACATATCTCCAGTCTGTGAGTTCTTGGATCTCTGCGATACGAGTGCCAACAAAGACCTTGTAGTGGCACAACTCAGACTTCAACCAGGTCAATACTGTTGTGGAGTCACAACGAGCTCAGGGTCCGTCTTCAACCTGCGTTCAGTTCCTCGCAGCCATGGCAACAAGTTATGGGTTGAAGAGATTAACTGTGGACTTTTGGGTGCTCTGAGCAATTGGGTAGCATATCGAGACACTCCCCCTGCTTCCGTCACCGCAGTTTTCGTCTCGAGCAGCTCCAGGCAATAATGATCTTGCTTAGACCGGGTTACGTCCTTTTCCTTACGGTGTGGAAAGGAATCTAGTCTCCACAGTCTCTCCACATTCTCCATCAACTTGGCAGTAGCTGGGCAGGATACAGTATTGCAGAGTGTAAACAAGGCTTGTACACCAGAAGTCGGAGGTTAAGGTAAGGCATTGGCTGGGTCCTGAACAGCCCAACCCAGGGCAGTATGGACAGTGATGGGTCCCCCATAAGGGCCAATGTGGACAGGCTCTTTGGGCACCAACAAGTGGCAATGATCTGAGCCTATCAGGATCAGTGGCCGGGCGTGTACAAAGTCCGGTAAGGGTAGGCCTCGCAAGTGAGAATACTCCCTCTGCAGGTCAGAGGCTGGACAGGAGTGCTCAGCCAAGTTGAAGACAGGGGCACTAAAGGCATTGGCTATAAGGAATTTTCTCTTCTTCTGGCTCACTGGGGAGATCGAACAGGAGATTGTCTCGCCACTTATGGGAATCACTTCATGATGCACCGTTCTGATATTCAGGATCTCTTCCGGTCCTTCTAGTTTCAGCTGGGACACTGCAGAGGTTACAATGATCATTCTTTCTGAACCATCGTCAAGTATGGCATATGTCCTCAGCCTCTGCCGGCCATTGATTAAGAAAACTACTACCCAAACTACTACCTTCAACATCACACGGGGAGATTTGTTTGGCTGATCTATGTACAGAGTGTCGGCAGGGCAAAGTGCACGGACAAGCAGATTGAGGGTGTTCCCTGTAGCTGATTTCTCTGAGCCGTGGGGGCCTGTGGATGGTTGAGGTACGATGTTAAGCAGGATGGTGAGATGCAACTCTATGCAGATGTTGCAAGGCTTTTTGAGGGTGCAGTTATCTGGCTTATGACAGCGGGCACATCTGTAGCAACGATCATTCTTCTCTATCCATGTTCTTAGTTGTGATGGGCTGAACTCCTTAACTTTCGGGCAAGTTCCCAGGAAGTGTTCCTTGTTGTTACAGTATGGACAAAAAGATTGGAACTTGGGTTTCCCATGGATGATCGCCCCCCTTCCACGGCTCTGTTGGACATCAGGCTGGCTCTCCACAGTGGCTGTGTTGCTCAGGTACATCGTAGTTGGCGTAGCCCTTCTCCCCAGGTTCTTCTGGACTGGCTCTCGTTTCTCCATTGATGGAAGTGCCGAGGCTTGTTGGGCAATACTCTTGGCCCGGGGCCATGCCGAAAAGTCCTGCAAGGTGTATGTTTGTTCTGAACCCTCTCTTAGGATGCCACGAAGCAGGCAGTGCTCAATGAAACTGTCTCGGTTTTGAATGGGAAGTTTGGTAAGTAGCCCGTCTACATGAGAGCCACATCGCAACTCACTTCCGTCTGCACCTTCCACTGACCGCAGCATGCCAATCAATGAATGCACAGAAAGAGCAAAGTCCTGGAACGCGTTGCTGTCACCAAGTCTGACAGATGGTGAATAAAGGATGCTCTCAAAATAAGGCAATCTTGGCTTCGGGATGCCAAAGGCAGTCGCCACTAATAGCTCCATGATACTAGCACCATCTGATACCGTCTCAGTGGGGGTAGGCAAGGAAAGAGTTGCAGGTTTCTCACAAACTGGATCTGCAGGCCTTTGACTCCTGGCCAGACGAGGTGCGGTCAGCGTTTTTTGGTGAAAATAAGGAGGTGAGGGAGCTGCATGCTCTGGACTGGAAGGTTGAACTACTGGGTGATCCTCTGTAGGGGCATAAGAAGTCACAGCCTGACTCACAGCATCTACGGGTAGACTCACAGCTGGAGGTAAGTGTTGGAACAGAGAAGGGGATCGTTGACTCACAGGAACTGGATAGGAAGCCAATATTTGAGGACCCGCAGAGAGAACCTGCTGCTCGGAGAACAAGTCAAGAGGTTCGGCTGAATATAGAACTCTGGTTCTCATGGAGAAAGGAGCCAGCACTTGAGGTGGGTCATTCACACTGGACATAGCCGCAGAGCGGGTGGATGTTCTGTGGTCATTCCTACATCCCCTGTGAAAGATGTTATTATACAAGCCTCTTCCAATTCTCTTTGGACTTTCCGCAGCCGTCGCTGTAGAGTAAGAGACCCGGTCATCCTCTCTCGCTCCTTTAAAGCTTCTTGTGCTTGCCTATCCAGTTCTTGTGCCCGTTCATCTATAGCTTGTTCCTCCTGAATCTGACTCTGCATCTCCTGCAGTTCTCCAAGTTTTCTCCTCTCCCCAATCATGGCCGCCTGTAGAGGGGTGAGCTCGACCTGCTGGCTCCTGCGTGAGCTTCGGGAACTCCCACTGGCATAAGTGTAGCTAGAGGAGAAGGACCTTGGTACTGGCTCGCGCTTGCCTCTAGATCTGCTGGGTCTCACCTCTCCCACATGGGGTGGAGCTGGCGCAGACTGTGGAGCTGGGTGTAGAGCGGGCTGTAGAGCTGGGTGTAGAGCGGGCTGTAGAGCTGGGTGTAGAGAGGGCTGTAGAGCGGGCTGTAGAGCTGGCTGTAGAGCGGGCTGTAGAGCAAGCTGTAGAGCTGGTTGCTCTCCCACTGCTGATTCAGGCTGGCCGTAGGGTGGGTGTGGGTGACCTCTTCGTCCAACGCCTGGACATCAGCAGCATCTGGGGTGGAGGCAGTTCGCCTGCTTGGCTGTGATGAGGGAGGCTTTTGGGCTTCTTCCTGGAGATTCCTCCAGGATCCGAGAAGCCATAGCGGTCAGGTGGACGCTCATCTATAGCAAATTGTAAATTCGCTTATTTGAGGAAATTGCACTTTCTTGTTTCTTGTTCTCCTGAGTTTGTACCCTATGGTTGAATGCACTTATTGTACGTCGCTTTGGATAAAAGCGTCAGCTAAATGACATGTAATGTAATGTAAATGTAATGGACGCCTCTCTCGCTCAGGCCTGGTTACCGTCTCTTCACTACTGGTTCCAGCTTGGGAAGCCTTCTCTTCCAGGTCCAAGTCTCTTGACTCCTTACTTGCCATGGTATCACTCACTCAGTCTCCGGCTCGAAGCACCATTGAAGGAACTGTAGGGGTGATGTGGTTTGGGGGGAGTGAATGTTCGGTGAGCAGACAGAGTCTCGGTCAGAAGACCCGAACGGCAAGGAGTGGAGTGAGAAAATGAGGCAAGGCAGGTTGGATGTAACACCAGTAGTTTATTTCCTTTTTTGGAGCATGATATTTATTCTGTGTGCTGAATCAAAAACATAAACAAAGAAATAATACAATTCAATTAAATAACGGAGTGGTCAATCAAATAACAAACAATCCCACATGGCTCCTGGCACATGTCTGAGAACAAAGGAATTGGTCACAATGTCACAAAAAGGCATCACAAAGGCATACAAATTAAACAATCAAAAGGATAAATTGAATTGACCACTCACGTTAACTTGAATACGCACACTGGGGAGTGGAAAAAGGTGAACTGCCAGGGGAGCAGACTATTTATAGTCTCCGCCCCCTTAGCCAGCAGGTGAAGTTTGATTGATTGATTGAGTCCAGCAGATTCACCAGTCATTCATAAAGAAATTAACAGAAAAAAAGCCCAGGTTGCAGGGAGTCTTTTCACATAGCAAAGTTGAACACTTTGTGGTCTTGTGTTTGCTTTCACATACAATCTGTTCCTCATTTAAATGTACCTCCTTTTTATTTAGTATTTAGGATACAAGGATAGCCAGCATTTTACAAGGGAGATGCGTGACTTCAGGCACATCAACTTAAATGTGATTTTGCCAGTGACTGATTTGATACGTGTTTAACTCTTGTATTTGTCTTACTCCAAGTGTCCCCCATTAATCCAGCTTCAGATATTGTTCACTCTAAAAACCTTACGCGCAGGATTGAAATGTTCTGTTAACACCCTTCAAAGAGGTAAAGCTGCTGGGTAATTATTGAAAATGTGCATGGCATACAGAAAGAACCCTGTGCACCTCTGAAAACAGCTTGTTTGAAGGACCTGTCTGCATAACTAATGCTACCTTTTACTTCCAGGTGTCCTTGGTTCTGTCAGCACTGCAGGCGGGGAACAAAGGCACCCAGGCCTGTATCACAGCAGCCAGCGCTGTTTCTGGCGTCATCGCTGACCTGGACACCACCATCATGTTCGCCTCAGCTGGAACTCTCAGCCCTGAAAATGAAGAGTCTTTTGCAGACCACAGGTGCAATGACTTTGACCAAGACATGTGTTTAAATGAAAACTTATAATCATCAAAAAGATAACGATTGAGGATGTTGAGAAAGGACTATATGATTCATAGTTTGAGCTCAGAGGAAATATATCTTAATATTTCAGTTTTTCTTTTGATGAGTCACTCAGTGCAGTTTGCCAATAATACTCAATATTCAGATGCTTTTCATATAATAAATGCAAATGGAAAATTGCCTTTCTGTTTAAAAAGCAACAGCATCCTGTTGGGAGCGGCTAGGGGGTCGTATTAGGTTACTAGCAAATGAGGAACTAACTTATGGACATTATTAGAATTATTAATAATCACTAAGATACTTCTTTAAAATAAATAACGGGGCACCACCCTGAGCTAACAGGGACCACTAACCAATACTATAAATCAAGTCTTATAATGGATATTCAATCCTTGAGAGTGAAGATGTTGGAAGGATTTAAGTTTGAGCACTGGCAATGTATGTCAACTGTCACCACCATATAACCACAATTAAACACAGGAAAACGGTTCTTTAAAGTATAACAGGGTTTATTAACTCACAGAAACACCGATCAAGATCACCTATAACTGCAATCAACTAACCCTATAACACTTATTTTAAACCTACTCACTAAACAAACAATCAAAAACCAGAGTGTGTGTGTGTGTGTGTGTGTGTGTGTGTGTGTGTGTGTGTGTGTGTGTGTATGTGTGTGTGTGTGTGTGAGAGCGCGAAGGGGGGTGCGAGAGAGAGAGGGGGAGAGAGAGGGGGGTGCAGGGAAGGAACGACGGTGGGGTTGCCCGCAAAAATAAGCGGAGTGCCGATTATCACACTAGGGGGCGAGCGAGAGCAGCGGGCGGAAGTGAGACCGTTAAATCAAACCACCGAGGAAGACGAGAACGTTAGGCGGTGTAATACGACTACTCGACGCGAGGGGCGAGCGAGAACGAAATGCACGGAAGTGTTCCACGTAGTAAAACAACGGGGAAGACGATAATTGCACTGCTATGGCACCGCTATCTGTTGCTAGGGACCACGGCTTGGAAAAAGGAGGGGGATACTTAGACGCGACGTGAGGAGATTCTGACGCGCTACCAGCGGAACGTAGATCAGCAATGTGAATCAGTATGGTCGGACTTATGTGTGTGCAGTTACGGGAACAAACGATGTGGCTCGCGATACGAAATGAAATCGCAGGCAAACGGATCTCGTGGCGGAGACCCGGGAAAAGCGATCTAAGATCGAAAGAAAATAAGGAACTATTCTGACCATGAGATATCATTCAACAGCGTAATACAGTTGGCGCTTTCACTCCCTTGCAGAAAAGCGTATCACAGTATCAGATCAACAGGGAATATTACGACATTTGCAGGTACACATTCAAACATAAATAAAAGGTAGCGGATTCGTTGATCCGGACTATATCGTACCACGTTATAACTGAACAAATCAAATAAACATCAAGTTTATATAAACACCCTCAATTAGTCTGCCCAGAAAACAAGTCTCTTATGGGTTGATGGGCTCGATCGACGTAGCGTCGGTCATCGGTTTTCAGCTGACTGGTGAGAGTTGAGCTCCGTTTAGGAAAAAAAGTGGGCAAAGGCGATTTAGAACTTCTCGTTTGAAGCTGCGTGTCCAGTCCTCCGGGTTGCAGCGGGAATAAAGTCCAAAAGGGGCGAAAAGAAGACGGAGGATCTTGAGTTCGTCTAGAGTGATTAAGACTGAAACTTGGGAGTTGGAGGGAAAAGAAAAGAAAGCAAAGTTGTGTTGTCTCGATCTAGCACTAACGGAAGGTCAGGCGAAAGAGATCGATTCTTTGGCGCAATCTCTTTTTATAAAGTTAAGGTCCATAAATAAATGTCACTGTCCTCGGCCAATGGGAGCTCTCTGTGTTCTTTTGGACATCCTCTTTTTATGGCCAGGTGGGATTTGGAGAGCTGCAGGGCTCCTGTTATCAGCCCCTGGCATCAGGCCATGGGGGGATGTTGTGGAATATTTCAATAAAAGCTTGGTAGAAAAGAATGATTTGTCTGATAAAACAGAGTCTTGATGAATGATCAAAGTTGCAAAAAGTCCATTTATTGCTTGCAAGCAGGAGGTCAAATACACAGGCACGTATCACGGTGATCTGTGGAAATGGCGTCTCCGAGCAGTAAAAACGCTGAGTTTTTATACACATGTGAAGAACATTCTCCGTGCCAGTTACGAGAAGCTGCAAAGCAGGTTGAGATAAGAACCCAGGTGAAGCTGAGGGTAGCACACACACACACAAGATCCTCCTCAGTGGCCGGTGCAAATCATAATTAATTGACATAAAAGTAAAACTTGGACCCGGAACTTTCGTACTGAATAAGATATGAACCAAGGCCATGAACAGGAGTCCTTTGTTTTGAAGTGTCTATGAGATCGAGTCGACCGTCCTCCCTTCTCAGGACACAGCTGCAAACTAACATTTTGTATCATGCTGCTCTTTGCACATCAGGGTCAAATACAGGACACTTGAGACACGGCTTTAGCACAAAACAATATTATAACATATTTTACCATTACATTCCACTCTTTTGATTATTCTTTAATCACACAAAATATTGCAAAAAAAAAAATGTTTTTGTGAGACCATGTCTCGTATTTAGCAAGCAAGTGTAAACCACTCTTAGATAGCTGATTACAAAATCACAAAAAGATACTTGAAACTGAAGCAAGCAATAATATGAATAAAACCGTAGCAACACAAACGACTACTGTGTCTATGTGGAGGGGTCCTGGCCGTGTTCTTCTTCTTGTGTTGGTCCGCAGGTACACGTTGGGATGTGGAGTCTGCCAACCTTCTTTCTTGTGAGGCATCCGCGTTGTAGACAGTCAACACAGATCACAATGCACGTTGTGTCTCTCGGTCAACTGCCCGTTGTGAACCCGTCCGTGGTCACTGCAACGGTGGTGTCGGTTGATTGACACTTGTTGTGGGGGTAGGGTCGCCTGAGCCCACTGCTGGTACTGGATCTGGAACCTTCTTGCAATGGGACGCGTGGACCCAAGTTGCCCTTTCAGCTACTTTGACAGCTGTTTGGGTGACTAGGAGGATCTGGAATGGTCCATGCCAGCGTCGTGCTTTCCAGTTTTTTCTCCTGAAGTCTTTCACCACCACAAAGTCACCAGGTTTCAGTTTGTGGAGTGGGCCTTCAGCTGGTTTTGGGAGGGCGGCTGCAACCTGTTGTCGTATGTTAGACAGAGCAGAAGAGAGTTGTGCACAATATGTTAACATTTCATGTTCGCATAATGCGGTTGAAGGGAGTGGTGCCGTCGGTGCTTCGGTTACTACGTGAGGAGGAAAACCAAACAATATCTCGAAGGGACTCAGGTTGCTTCATGTTCGTTTTCTCATGCGCATGTACATCAACACTAGAGGCAGGGCCTGCCTACATTGTGAGTAGAACAGGTGACACATGCAGAACAAAAGTTTTGTGCATATGCTGTGAACCCCTTTGTAAACCACATTTCATTAAGTGCGCGTAACTTTCCCAGTCAACTTAGCATAATGAGCAAAATAGTGTTTAGGTAAACACGGCTTGCCGTCGGGTCCAGTCCAGATACCGTTGGTGTAAACACAGCCAGATGTGGACCAAAGCCGTCTTTCATCAGGGGTAGAGAGTGACTGCATCGCTGTAAGAGAGGAGGGAACTGACTTCTCAGAGCACATGAGAGCCACAGGTAGTGGGAAGCGGAAGCAGAGCAGCAGCTTTTGCAGCCGTGTCTGCTCGAGCATTTCCCTGTGATACATCATCCGTATTGGACGTGTGTGCTGCACATTTACAGACAGCAATAGCTGTGGGTAGCAACATGGATTCCAACAGTTCAGCAATGAGAGTGTGGTGTAGGATGGGCTTACCGTCCAATTTAAGGAAGTTCCTGTGTTTCCACAGCACCCCAAAATCATGTACAACACCAAACGCATAGTGAGAGTCAGTGTGAACTGTGACTGTTTTACCCTTAGCCAGTTTACAGGCCTCGGTCAGAGCGATGAGCTCGGCTGCCTGGGCTGAGAGGTGACATGGCAGAGGACCCGAACACAGCACACCAGAGTCAGAAACAACAGCAAAACCAACACGATTTTCACCAGACTGAGGATCGCGGGAGGCGGATCCATCCACATACATTACCATGTCGCTGTTAGTTAGTGGAGTGTCCACTAGGTCAGGGCGAGGAGTGCACTGAGCTTGGAGCTCAGCCAAACAGTTGTGGTCCTCCCCATCCCCAGGAATAGGAAGTAATGATGCAGGGTTAAGGTTAGTACAACGTTTTACAGTGACATTCGGCATGTCCAGGAGACACGTGTGGTAACGCAAATAGCGAGCCGCAGAGAGGTGAGATGATTTCTGTTCGAGGAGAATCAAAGAAACCGCGTGCGGAACGAGCAGAGGTGCGTAACCCACTATGTCACGTGAGGCTGTGAGTGCCGCGGCCACAGCGCGCAAACATTGTGGCAGTCCTGCAGCGACAGGGTCAAGTTTTGCGGAGAAATACGCCACCGGGCGGAGTTTATCACCATGGGGTTGTAGCAGCACAGAAGTCATGCAGCCCTGTCTTTCATCTACTGTTTGAGTAAATGGCTTATTCGGATTCGGCAGTCCAAGAGTCGGAGGAGTTTGCAAAGCACATTTCATTTGTGTGAAGGCTCCAAGACCCTCTTCAGTCCAGATTATTTTGTTGTGCGCTGTAAGATTTTTCCCATGGATTAAGTTTGATAACGGATGTTCCATTTGTGAGTAGTTTGGAATAAATGATCGACAGTATGAGCACATGCCCAAAAAGGACATCATCTGTTTTTTGGTGTTGGGTTTCGGTATTGATACGATCGCAGCGATTCTTTTTCGGGAGAGGGTTTTTCCTTCTCCAGATAGGTCATGACCTAGGAAACGCACATTTTGAAACACAAATTGTAATTAAGAAAGGCTGGCCTTGTAGCCTTCCTTCGCTAAATGTTTGAGTAGTTTAA